TGGCTTGCTCAGCCTCTTGCAGGGAGGCAGGGGGATCGGGCTGCGCATTATTGGTGATGTCAGCTTCGATCGCTTGGCTAAGGTGCTGTCTGCCAGGTTCTTTCACAATAAAAGGAAGCTTTTATTCTCTTTGTGATTAATAGATATTCTATGGGGACATTCTGTCATCCAGCGATTTGGCATCCCCTCGTGTTCTTGCCTGAATCTAACATTACTACTAGGGCTGCAAGATGGGGTTTTCTTCTACTGCTATTGTTCCACCTACTTGAATAAATTAGTATGTGACTGAAAAGAAGAACTTTCTCTTTGAACATTTATACAATACTCCTTGTGTATTTGTTTTAAAAAATATGTCAGTATGGACTCATGTATTTTTTTTTTAAATAACCTCAACATGTTCTATGCCATTACCTCTATTATGGATTTTGATACTTAAAATGTCATCAGTTTGACTCTCAGGAGACTTCACGCTCAATCCTGTTTCCTTTTTTGACATGCACACATCATTTTTTGAACACTTTCTGACTTCGGGGCCACAAGCAATACATTTTTACTGCCTCTGCCTCAGACTTCAAATCAGCTATTTCTTCTGGAAGCCCTAGCTCCTTTTAGTAGAGGATGATATTAGAAACCAAGAGCTGGGGTACTCAGTGTGCTCAGTGCTCCTGGGGTGTCGCTACTTCTAGGATCTTTCAGGACGCAAGCTGAGAAATTACATATATGTCAATAACCCAGGAGTTTATAATGATACCTAAACACCACAGGCTTTTTCTTGCCTTACCCTGTTCTGTATTTATATTCCTTCTTTCAGAATAAGAAACTCTAGCTTCTCAAAGCAACAACATATTTACATTTTTACTCAACTCTACAATGCACACAAAATAACATTTATATAATACTATAGCTAATACACAGTCCATACTCAAATTGCACCAATTGTGGAGGAAAGTTACTAAATAAGATAGTCAGTTGCAGTGGTATGTGTCTGTTGTCCCAGCTAATTGGGAGGATGAGGTGGGAGGGTCACTTGAGCCCAGGAGTTTGAGTTCAGTCTGGGCAAAATAGCAAGACCCCATCTCTTAAAATTTTTTTTTTTAAACCTACTAAATAAGGTTCAAGATTTCTTTATGGATCTTTTTATCTTTAGATTGCAACATATAATCAAAGTACTGCATTCAAAAGTTACTTGGGGCTGGGCACAATGGCTCATGCCTGTAATCATAGCATTCTGGGAGGCCAAGGTGGGAGGATAGCTTGATATCAGGAGTTTGAGACCAGCATGAGCAAAAGTGAGACGCCCATCTCTACAAAAAATAGAAAAAGTTATCTGGCCATGGTGGTGCACACCGGTAGTCCCAGCTACTCGGGTGGCTGAGGCAGGACGATCATTTGAGCCAGGAGTTGGAGGTTGCAGTGAGCTATGATGATACCACTGAACTCTACCTAGGGTGACACAGTGAGAACATGTCTCAAAAGAAAAAAAGTTACTTGGATTACAACACACTGTGGTTGTATTATTCATTTGCTATAAAGTCAGATTCCTTTATTTCTATTTCTATTTCTATTTAAATTTTAGTTTTCCTCCATCTTAGTTAATTATATCTTTTGAATATATCAAATAGTAGCATCAAAATCACATAAAAATATGTACTCAGAGAAGCACCACTCCTTCCCCATCTCTTTTTTTGTTCTCTCTTATCCCCTACAGGTAATCAACATTTGTTTGTTTGTTCCCCTTTCTATGTCTCCTTTGCAAAAACAAGCAGATGCACATTTGTGCTTTTATGTACCCTTCTTTCTTGTTTAAAAAGTAGCATATTATATACTCTTTTGCACATTACTGGGTTTTTTTTTTTTACTTAGTGATATGATCTGGAGTCATTGAATGCCATATCAGTTCATAGAGATCTTCCTCATTTTTATTTTATAGTGGTACAGTTCTCCGTTATGTGGATGTTTCATAGTCTATTCCATCCATCCTCTACGGAAGGGCATTTGGGTCATTTCCAGTGTTTTTCAGTTACAAATAATGCTGTAGTAGATTAGCTTGTGCTTATGTGTTTTCATATCACTGGAGGGATATCTTCAGGGTAAATTTCTAGAAGTGGGATTGTTGGGTTAAAGAATGGACGTGTGTGTGTGTGTGTGTGTGTGTGTGTGTGTGTGGTTTTTAAAAGATATTCCTAACTTCCCCTTCATAAGAGTTGCACCATTTTGTATTCCCCCTGGCGATGTATAAGAGCATTCATTCTCCCAGCTTCACCAAAAAAGTACGTGTGAAGCTTTTTAACTTTTGACCACCTGATTGATGAGAAATGGCATCTCATCATACTTTTCACCTGCATTTCTCATAATTTGAGTGAGGCAGGTATTTTCTTTCAAACAGGGAGATCATAGAAGCCCCTTCCAATGTGACAACCAGTGAAGGGCGGTCTCAGTGAAGTGACAGAGATGGACATGGGGGAATCTGGGGGAAGAGTATTCCAGGCAGAGGAGCGGCAAGAGCAAGGGCTCTGAGGCAGAGGCAAGCTTGATGTCTTCAAGGAAGAGCAAGAAAGTCAGGTGGTCTAAGCAGAGGTAACCAGGAGAAACTGATCAGAGATGGAGTTGGCAAGGACTGGACCATGCAGGCATTATAGTCAGCTCAGCAAAGTTTTCCTGTAAAGAACCAGATAATAAATACTTTTAGCCTATTGGCCATCTGGTTTCTGTTGCAACTACTCAACTTTGTGATTGTGGCACAAAGACAGTCATGGGCAATCTGTAAACAAATGAGTGTGGCTGTGTTCTGATAAAATTTTTTTTTTGTAGAACCTGAAGTTTAAAAAAATTGAGACATAATCCACATAATATTCCTATAATCCAGCGGTTTTTAGTATATTCATAAGGTGGCACAACCATCTTCATTGGCTACTTTCACAACATTTTGATCATCCTCAAAAGAAACCTCACACCCTTTAACAGCCAGTCACAATTTCCTGTTCCATCCTGTTCCCTGGGGCAACCGCCAATCTCTTATCTCCCTCCATGGACATGGATTTGTTGATTCTGGACATTCATATAAATGGAATCACACAATATTGGTGTTTCAACTCTGGCTTCCTTCCCTTAGCATGTCTTCTAGGCTCATCCTTGTGGTAGCATTAGTCATTCCCTTTTTTGGCTGACTAATATTCCTTTATATGGACATACCACATTTTGTGTGTCCATTCATGGATGGACACGTGGGCTGTTTCCACTTTTTGGCTAGTGCAAATAATGCTGCTGCAAACATTCCTGTGCAAGTTTTTTTGTGTGTGAACATATGCTTCTAATCCCTTGGGTATATACCTAGGAGTGGAAGTGCTGGGTCATATGGTAATTCTATCTTTAACTTTTTGAGAAACTGCCAAATGAAATTCATATGTACTTTTTTTTTTTTTTTTTTGAGACAGTCTCGCTTTGTTGCCCAGGCTAGAGTGAGTGCCGTGGCGTCAGCCTAGCTCACAGCAACCTCAAACTCCTGGGCTCAAGCGATCCTCCTGCCTCAGGCTCCTGAGTAGCTGGGACTACAGGCATGTGCCACCATGCCCGGCTAATTTTTTCTATATATATTAGTTGGCCAATTAATTTCTTTCTATTTATAGTAGAGACGGGGTCTCGCTCTTGCTCAGGCTGGTTTTGAACTCCTGACCTTGAGCAATCCACCCGCCTCGGCCTCCCAAGAGCTAGGATTACAGGCGTGAGCCACAGCGCCCGGCCATATGTACTTTTAATATGCCACAAAATACCATTCTTCTTTTGATTTTTTTCAATCATTTAATTATGCAAAAGCCATTTTTTAGCTGGTGGGCCCTACAAAAACAAGAGGTGGGCTGGATTTGGAGCCCTGTTGTAGGCGATAGAAGGAACTTAGATTTTGTTCTGCGTGTTATGGGCGCACAAATGTTCATCTGTAGGATTCTGGGGAAAGATTCTGATAAGGATTAGTTGGATTAATTTAGGGCAGGGGACTTTATATCCTTTTTAAGCTTCTCTTGGCACGGCTACTGTTTAAGGGAAAGGTCATCTTGAGAAAGTGATTCACCTCTTTAAAATTCTCAGACCGGACCTCTCCTCTCCACACTCTCCATATGTCTTTATTTCCTCAACTGTAAATGGTGATAAAAATGTATCTACTTCAAAGGGTGGTTGTGAGGTTTGAATGAGTTTATATATACAACACTGAGAATAGTGCCTGGCACAGACTAAGACCTATATAAGTAGTTGCTATTATTGTTGATATTGTTGCTGCAATATCGTCTATACAGCCCCCGCTCAGGCCTGGCCCTCTCCCCCTAGACTTTCACAGCTCCAGCTCCAATCTGCTCCCAACACCAACCAGCCCCCAAAGGACCTTCTAACACCCTGATCTGGCCCTGTCCTCCCTCTGCTATAAACCTTCCATGACTCCCTAGTGCCTCTGGTGTCAAGGCCAAGCTCCTCAGCCTGGCATTCGAGGCTCACCTTGGCCTTGTCTATCTCGTGGCCACAGCCTGTGCTATAGCGACATGGATGGAGCACTCAGTGTTCCCCTCCAAACCTTTTCCCACGCTGTTTCCTCTGCCAGGAGTGGTGGGGTAGTGTGTCCTTATTCTTCCTGGGGGTCTCATCCTTTAAGAATTGGACAAAGGAATCTTTCCTTGATTTCTCTTGCCCCTGCCCCAGGTGGGTTTGGTGCCTCTTCTGGACTCCCACAGAGCTCTGTGCTACTTCCTCACCGCACATATCCCCATGTGTGTGACTGTTGATCAGGGTTCATACTTACCTTCGCCCATTGCATTGCGAGTCCCTGGATGGCAGATTGGGGGGGGCACATTGTTGATTCATCTCTGGGCTCCCTGCACCCAACAAGGCCCAGCACACAAGGGGCTTGAAGAAAGTTAGTCCAGGGCAGAGAGGGGAGGAGGGGAAGGCAGCGAGATGGGGCTGGGGAGAGCGGTCCACCACCAATGGGCTGAGGGTACCGTCTGTTCCCCCAGGCCTCTCCTTGGTGGTGGGCTTGGTTCTTTACATCTCCAGCATCAATGACGAGGTCATGAACAGGCCCAGCAGCTCCGAGCAGTATTTTCATTATCGCTACGGGTGGTCGTTTGCCTTTGCTGCTTCCTCCTTCCTACTCAAAGAGGTGACGTCCTTGGGACCCAGACTCTAGAGTCTAGAGTTTGAATAGGGAGGGGGGCTGATCCCTGAGTCCAGAAGGAAGAGGAGGCTGGGGGTGTCCACTCTGGGTCATGCGGGAGGTGATGGCTGAGTGTCCAGGGTCCTGGAGGAAGAGGGGGCTAAGAGCTCCAACTCTCCGGATCTTGGGAAAGGCAGGCACTGGGGACTGGGACACCTGGCTCTTGAGGGGGCCTGAACCCGAGGCCTTGGACTCCTGAGGCGGTGGGGAGGGGAGGGCTGGAGCTCGATCCTGGGTCCTGGGGAGGGGAGGGCTGGAGCTAGATCCTGGGTCCTGGGGAGGGGAGGGCTGGAGCTCTGATCCTGGGTCTGGGGACGGGGAGGCGGTGGCAGGTACCTCTTGATCCTGCCTGGTCGGAGGGGAGGGTGCGAGCCTCTGATCCTGGGTCCTGGGGAGGGAGGGGCTGGAGCTCGATCCTGGGTCCTGGGGAGGGGAGGGCTGGCAGCTCGATCCTGGGTCCTGGGGGGGAGGCGCGGAGCTCTGATCACTGGCCTGGGAGGGAGGGCTGACCGAGGCCTCCTGACTCCCTGGGTCGTGGGGAGGAGGAGCTGGAGCTCTGATCCTGTGGTCCTGGGAGGAGGCTGGAGCTCGATCCTGGGTCCTGGGAGGGAGGCCTGGAAGCTCGATCCTGGTCCTGGGGAGGGAGGGCTGGAGCTCGATCCTGGGTCCTGGGGAGGGGAGGGCTGGAGCTCTGATCCTGGGTCCTGGGGAGGGGAGGGCTGGAGCTCGATCCTGGGTCCTGGGAGGGAGGGCTGGAGCTCTGATCTGGGTTCCGTGGGAGGGGAGGGCTGGAGCTCTGATCCTGGGTCACGTGGGGAGGGGAGGGCTGGAGCTCAGATCCTGGGTCTGGGGAAGGGGAAGGGCTGGAGCTCGATCTGGTCCTGGGAGGGAGGGCTTGGAGGCTCCCTTGAATCTGGGCTGCCTTGGGAGGCTGGAGCTAGATCCTGGGTCCTGGGGAGGGGAGGGCTGGAGCTCGATCCTGGGTCCTGGGGAAGGGAGGGCTGAGCCTCGATCCTGGGTCCTGGGGAGGGGAGGATGGGGGCCAGGACTCTCGAGCCTTGGAGTTGGAGGGCGGCGCCTCTGGGACTCTGACTGTGCTTCGCCACAGGGGGCCGGCGTGATGTCCGTGTACCTGTTCACCAAGCGCTACGCGGAGGAGGAAATGTACCGTCCACACCCGGCCTTCTACCGCCCGCGTCTCAGCGACTGCTCAGACTACTCGGGCCAGTTTCTGCAGCCCGAGGCATGGCGCCGTGGCCGCAGCCCATCCGACATCTCCAGCGACGTATCCATCCAGATGACGCAGAACTACCCCCCAGCGATCAAGTACCCCGACCACTTGCACATCTCCACCTCGCCCTGCTGAGGCCCCGCCCCTCGGAGCTCCCCTCCTCTTCCTCCTCCTCCTCTTCCTCCTCGCGGGTCTCCCAGCAATGCAGCACCTCCCTTCCTCCGGGGTCCTCCCTCCCACCTGGAGGATGCTGCGCCAGCTTTAGGCCCCGCCCCCTGTAACCCCGCCCTCATTTAAATGACCCCGCCCCTCGGCCCGCCCTTCCGTTTGCCCGCCCCCTTTCCCTTAGGACCGCCCGTTTCCTCTGGCCCCTCCTCTCCAGACGGCGGGCTCCTCCCCCATCCCCCGCCCTGCGCGCCCAGCCCCCCAGCTCCCCGACCTCCGCCTCCCCGCAGCGCCGCGGGCCGGAGAGTGGGTTCCCGCGCCTGCCGGGAATGCCCACCACCCTCTTCTCCCCTCTGCCCTGGATTTCTCCTTTTCCTCGCTTGATCCCAACTCCTGGCCCGCAGAGTCCTCTGGTGCAGTGGGGGGCCCGCTGCCCCCGCCCACAGCTGCGGACCCGGGTGGGGGCTGGAGGCCACGGACGCGGCTAACCCGGCCTTCCCTCCCCGCTTCTCTGCTCCCCTGGGAGACCCCCTCTTTCTCACCGGCTGGGCTCTTCTCTGCCTCCTGAAGGTCACCTGCTTTTTAGGGGGCTCTGTCTAAAGGATCTTCTTGCTTTCTTGGCTATCCTCGGCTTCTTTTTCTTCCCCTCCAACTCTCTCTCCTTTGCTCCCTCCACCCGTCGCCCAAAGCCCCTAGGTGCATCCAGCCCCGCACACCAAACCAGGATGGGGACCCTGGGGTGGAGGGAGTCCCCACGCCCTCTCCACGCCTGTGCCCGCCTCTCCCCCCTCGAGGCCCCGTCGGGGGAGGGAGGGGCAGTAGCGGGGGTCGACACCCCCCCAAACCTCTAAGTCTTCCATTTTCTGGCCCTCCTCACTGACGTTCCCCTTCCATCTCAGACCCCCAACTCCGGCCTCTTTCAATGGCCCGTCCGCCCCCTTGGACAGATTTTGGGGGAGGGGAGGTCACCAGAAACTCGCCCACCCCCCCATTGGGGGAGGAGGGGCGAGGTAGCACAGTGCTGTACACGGAAGCAGAAGGCCCCCGGGGTGGGGGGAGGGGGCGGGGAGGGACGGGGGCTTTTAGTTTGCATCTTGGGGGGAGGGGGCCGCAGCAGTTAACCTGTCTTTATGCAGCGATTTTTAACGAGGCTGGGGGGAGGGGGGCACTGGGTGGGAAAGGGGTGGGGGGGCCTGGCTCTGTTATTTACCGTGTATCATATGTAAATACCGACAGAAACTTCAATAAACTTTATTTCAAACACGTCTCTGCCTGCCCAGAGGGAGGGGATTGGATACAGGGGGCTTAGTTCAGGCCTGTACACCTAGGGTTGGAGGTGAGCGCTGCAGAATAAGGTCAGATGGGTCGTTGTTAAATTACTTAGTCATCACAGTTATTAACAGCAGCTCTTCATAATTCAGTCCATATATGCACGTAGGAAGGCAAATGGCACTGCTCCAGGTCAATAAAAATTGTCTCTTTGTATTACTAGGAGCCCTTACAGTACTATTACTATTACTTGCTTGCCTTCTGCACGCATTGCTTCCTTTAAATTTCTTCCAAGCCTGCACATTGAATTGATTAGCCTCATGTTGCAGATAGGGTCTTCCCCTTGCACCAGGGAGCAGTGGGTTTTCCCAACGCTTGGCTCGGTCACTCATGGGGGAAGTAACTGCTACCATTATTGCACACCTACCATGGGCCAGGCACTTTCCTTCCTTACATGTCTGGGAAGGAAGCACAGACCCAGATGAACTTGGTTTTAGCTAATGGCTCTGCCAATTTCTACCTGTGTGATCTTGCGAAAGTCATTTCACGTCTCCGGACCTATCAGACATTCCCAGCAGCCCTGTGTATGTAGAAATGATCTCCCTGTTTTCGCAGGGGAAGGATGGGGGCTCAGAAATGGGCTCCAAGATCTGTGATCTCGCCCACTGTACTGAGAGATTGAGAACAGCCTAAATGTTTGATAAGCTTGTTCTTGAAGTGTATTGTAAAGGAGACAGTGCCAGCCCCCGGTACTCTGCCTTGTCTGGACTTAGCCTCTTGAGGGGCAATCAGAACAACTTTTGCAGCCACAGCCACAGCTGGTAACAACCTCAGCCACATGTATGAAGCTATCATCAGGCATCGGATGCTGTGGTGAGCACTTTTTATTAGCTCATTGCATCCTTCCAACCACCCTGTGAATTTGGCATTCCAGTGACCCCCATTTTATGGATGAGGAAACTGAGGCCCAGTGAAGTGAAGTCACCCAGCTGGCAAGATGCAGAGGAGAATTCTTGCCCAGGCCAGTGTGACCCCAGAGTCTCTTCTCTTAGCTGCTATATTTTACTACTATGGATTTGATGCAAACTCATTCTGTGACCTTGAGCAAGTCTTTTAATCTCTGGGGCTTTAGTTTCCTTTTCTGGAAAAAAAGAAAGAAAAAAACCTGAGGGAGATGATTTAGAAGGCTTCCAAATCCCTCTAGAACAGGAAGGTTGGTTGGGGTAGGTTAGCGGGAAATAATTCCGATTCAGCAGATCAGACTCCCTGAGGGAAATATTCTGAGTCATTTTCGATGATTCCAGGAATTTCTGGAGGTCATGCTTGAAATTTGGGATGGCAAATATGTTTCAGCTTCTTTGTCAAGCCTAAGTGATCTATGGTGGCTGCTTGGCACACGGTATTAGCAGGATGTTGAACATCTGCTTAGGGAGAAAGGATGTCCCCATCGATTGGTGCTGTCTGCAGTGCTGCTCAATTGGTGCTGCCTGCCTTGCCTGCAGGATGGGCGGTGGTGACACGAGTGCTAGATATTTGCTGACTTTATGCAGAACTTAACCCAAAATTCTAAAGTTGATGTTCTTTTAAAAAACTACCAGCCTGGACTATAGAGAGACCCCATATCTACAAAAAAAGAAAAAAACATTAGCTGGGCATGGTTTTAGGAGCCTGTAGTCCCAGCCACCCAAGAGGCTGAGGCAGGAGGATCTCTTGAGCCCAGGAGTTTGAGGTTGTTGTGAGCTAGGCTGATGCTGCTGCACTCTAGCCAAGGCAAAAGAGTGAGACTATGTGTCACAAAAAATTAATCTAGTTTTTTTGTTTTTAAATTTTGAAAATGGAATTAAATTCCACAGTTAAAGATTTGGTTTCTGTTTTAAAGAAATGCCATGAAAAACCTCATCTTTACCTATCCAAAGTAAGTCAGGATGTTCTGACATTCGGAAGTCCTCTTCCCCCTAAGGTATTATTAGCTTTTAATGCATAATTTCAAGAATACTTTATGCATGTTCAAGCATACCTGCATTTTAAAAAGTCCACATATATGTGAGTATGTAGCGTACACATGTTTATTTTATACATTTATCATAGAATGCACATAGTTCTGTACCTTCCAATTTCACAGGACAATGTATTATGGAGCTCATTTAGTATCAGTTACATAACTCTACCTTACTGTTTTCCAAGGCTGCTTAATAACAATCATTTGCATAAATTAATTGCATAATTTATGGAGTGCTTCTTATGTGCCAGCCACTTTGCATTCAAGAACTAAGCACTCTACATTCCATAACCCAAGGAGGTTTGGTACTGTTATTCTCATCCTCATTTAATAAATGAGGTCCTGGGGCACAGAGAGGTTAATTAACTTTCTCCTAGGCACACAGCTAGTAAGTGGTCAAGCTAAAATCTGAATTTTGGAAGTCTCCTGAGTCTGCAATGCTTAACTACTAAGCTGTATACCTCCATGTGTATTGAAGCCACCTACTTCTGTCTATTTGTCTAGGTCCATTTTTGACACACTCTTCTGTAGCTTAATACAGAACAGTACTACATAGCAGTAGTTCTCAAAGTGTGGTCCAGGCAACCTGGGCATCCCTAAGACCATTTTTATAATAATACAGGTCAAAAAACCACAGGTCAAAACCATTTTTTAAGTAATACTAAGATATTATTACAATACTATTTTCCTTCTCATTCTTATTCTCTCACAAGTATATGAAGTCTAGAGGTGTCTGGAAGCTTCATGATAAATAAGAACATGATAGATTGAATGCAGAAGGACATATGTGACCTCAACTTCCTTTGAATAGGCCAGATGTTGAATAAATTTTCAAAAATATAAATTAATGCCATTACATATATACTATATTAGAGATAGGGGTCGCACTCTGTCGCCGTGGCTAGAGTGCAGTGGTGCAATTATAGCTCACTGCAGCTTCAAACTCCTGGGCTCAAGTGATCCTTCTTCCTGAGCCTCCCAAGTTGCTGGGACTATAGGTGTGAGCCACTGTGCCTGGCTTACGCTTTTTGTTTTGGAAACTATAGTCATTTTTTATTAAAATGAGTTGCATATATAAACTTATTTTATTTTTTTTCTCAGTTTGAATTTCAAATATGTGAAGTATCCATAGGTATAACACACACAAACCAAAGCTCTCTGGGGCCCTCTATGATTTTCAAGTACATAGAGGGGTCCTGAGGTCAAAGGTTAAGCACTGCTGCCACTGCATGTCCCAGAGGTGACACATCAGATGCGGAGATTTGCTTCATTCCTTTAATAGCTGTGTAGTGGTCCATTGAAAAGAGGTAATTTAACAACAAACTCATTTTTAATTATAAATGTAATATTTAGTATCATGATGTAAAAGTTTAAGCAGCAGATAAAGGTATAAAGAAGAAAGTAACTTTCTTCTTCCCACTCTTCTTAATCCCAGTCTCACTTCCCAGAGGGAACGACTGTTGCTGGCTTCTTCTTCTAGGCCAGTGGTTCTCGGCTAGGGATGATCCTGCCTCCATGTTACCTCTGGAATTGTCTGGAGACAATTTTGGTTGTCACAATTTGGTGGGGTTGCTCGTCTTGGCATCTCCTGGGATACTGCAAAAAAAAAAATCCTACAATACAAGGACAAGTCCCCTACAAGGACAGCCCCCCATAGAAAAGAATCATCTGATCCCAGATGTGACTAGCACTAAGGTTGCTCTAGACATTATCCATGCATTTATGTATTCTCTCCTGCCTTTTTTTTTTTGCATTTATTTTTATTAATATATATGCTAAACCAGTTTATAAACAGTGATTCTTCACTTGCAAGGGATTAGAAACTCCTTCGAGAATCAGATAGAAGCTATGGACCCCCAGAAGAAATACCCATACTCACAAAATTTTGTACATCGTTTCAGGGGCTTCCCTGACACCCCCAAAGCTCCACCAGAATTCCTTGGATGTGTGGTTTTGAATCACGGTCCTAGCACATCCCATCCAGAGAGAGAGAGAGAGATCACCAACTGCAACCCCTGTCTGCTTCTACAGAGGAGGGAGGAAGGCGCAGAGAGAACAAGGATTTGGCTCTGGGTCCCTTAGGGAGGCAAAGAAAAGCAGGAATTGGAACTCAGGCCACCTGACTCCCCAGCACTGGAATATTTCCACTTCACCCTGAATGAGGACGTTTTAGAAACGCTGATCGTCTCTTCCTGGTACAGCAGGAAGACATGCCACCACCACTCTGTTCCTCTTGAGAAAACACAAAGGCCCCAGCTGTTGTTGATGAGAAGCACTCAAGCACCTGGGAGAAAGCACACACTCAGGATATGAGGCGGGGAGAGGGGTTGGATAGGGACAAGAGGTTGGAATCAGCTGCTAGAGGGTAGGGACCATGGGATATGGATTCGCTCATTCCCTGACTCATCCAATCATTCATTTGTTCATTCATTCATTCAGCAATCGTGGCCCAAGGACTCCTGTGTACCAGGGCTAAGCCGGGCTCTGGGGGGACACGGAAGTGAATCAGGCCTGTTCCAGTTTGAACAGCTTCCGCTCTGGTGGGGAAGGCTGGCCGATGTGCCAATCACAGTACTGGGGGGCTGTGGCCTCACGGAGGCAGTTCAGGGCATGGCAAAAGCACAGACGCAGGCTTGGGAGGCCAGGAAGGCTTCTTGGAGGAAGCAGCATTTAAGTTGAATCTTCAAAAGTGGGTAGAGGGGCCGGGCGCGGTGGCACACGCCTGTAATCCTAGCTCTGGGAGCCGGGCGGGCGGATTCTTGAGGTCAGGAGTTCGAAACTAGCCTGAGCAAGAGAGAACCCGTCTCTACTATAAATAGAAAGAAATAATTGGCCAACTAATATATATACAAAAATCAGCGGGCATGGTGCGAATGCCTGTAGTCCCAGCTACTTGGAGGCTGAGGCAGGAGGATCGCTTGAGCCAGGAGATTGAGTTGCTGTGACAGGCTGACGCCACGGCACTCACCTCTAGCTGGCAACAAAGCGAGACTCTGTCTCAAAAAAAAAAAAAAAGAAAAAAAAGTGGTAGAGGGCTCATCACGTGGCTGAGAAATGGAAGGAGAACCACACAGGAAGCCCCCCAAGCACGGAGGGGCTCGGCATGGTAGGGAAGGCGCTCCGGTGTGCAGGAGGCAGCAGTGGAGATGTTATAAAATGAGGCTGGGGCTCTTGGCGGAAGGACATGGGTAAGGGGCTTAGATTTTCTCCTGAGGGCAATAGGGAGCCTTAGGAGAATTTTAGGTCGAGGAGTGACACAGGGTCAGCTCTGAATGTTAGAAAGAGCCTTGAGGGGCTAGGTGGAAATGAGACTGGAGGGAGGCCAGTGGTGTGGACTGGTGGCACAGCCCAGGCAAGAACGGGACACAGAGAAAGGAATGTATCGAAAGGGGTCCAGAAAAGAGAGAGGCTTACACCTGGGGACTGACTAGTTGTCAGGAGTGAGGGAGAGAAAGGCATGGAGGAAGCATTAATGCGACATTGGCCAAGCAGCCCCTGCGTGAACTTCACGGTGCAGTGTATTTACAGTGTGTATTAGTCATCTATTGCTGTGTAACAAATTACCAAAAACTCAGTGGCTTAAAACAAACAGCACATGTTTATTAATTTGCAGTTTCCGTGGATCAGGAGTTCAGCACGGCATAACGTCACCTCAGCGCAGGGTCCCACGAGGCTGAAATCGAGATGTCGCTTGGCTGTGTCCTCATCTGGGAGCCGGACTAGTGAGAGATCTACTCCCAAGCCCCACAAGTTGAGCAGAATTCAATTCCCTGTGGCGGTTCGACAGAGGTCTCTGGTTTTTTGCTGCCAGTTGTAGCTCACTCTCAGGTCTTTGTCACAATGTGGCATTTTGCTTCTCCAAGGACATTGAGAGACTCTGTCTTGTTTGGAATCTATCTTCTTGATCCTCTTCTGAGAGATCACCTGATTAGGTCAGTCCCACACACAATCATTTCTTTCTGGATGAACTCAAGACAACCAATTAAGGACCTTAATTATATCTGCAAAATCATGACACTTGCCCTGTGACATCACCTAATCGTGGAGGTACACCAAGGGCAGGAGGCTCTACCAGGTATGCACATCAGGGAGTGGGAATCTTGGAGGTGAGAGTGGAGGACCTTCTTTTTTTTTTTTTTTTGAGACAGAGTCTCACTCTGTTGCCCAGGCTAGAGTGAGTGCCGTGGCGTCAGCCTAGCTCACAGCAACCTCAAACTCCTGGGCTCAAGCGATCCTCCTGCCTCAGCCTCCCGAGTAGCTGGGACTACAGGCATGCGCCACCATGCCCGGCTAATTTTTTCTGTATATATTAGTTGGCCAATTAATCTCTTTCTATTTATAGTAGAGACGGGGTCTTGCTCTCGCTCAGGCTGGTTTCGAACTCCTGACCTTGAGCAATCCGCCCACCTTGGCCTCCCAGAGAGGTAGGATTACAGGCGTGAGCCACCGCACCTGGCCTTGAGTGGAGGACCTTCTTAAGGGAAGAGGTTTAGCAAACTTATCTCTGAGTCTACAATCTCTAGGTCTCTGGGCCAAGCCCACTGGAGGCCTTGGTTAATGTGAGAGGGATATATATGAGCAAATATAGGAGTGAGATCTAGAAGATCCCATAACCTGCTTCTTCTGGGATGGATTCTTCCATGAGCTGAAGGGGTGGATCAGTGAGTCTAATATTTCTGTCTTACAAAATGAAGTCAAGAGGTGCTATAGCATTCCTCAAAAGGGTAAACATGACCTGGGAATTCCAATGCCATGTATATGCCCAAGAGATATAAAAACATATATTCATGCAGAAACTTGCACACAGATGTTCACAGCAGCATTATTAATAATAGCCAATGTGTGGAAACAACTGAAATGCCCATCAGTAGGTGGATGGATAGATAAAATGTGCTATCTCCATACCATAAAATATTATCCAGCCACAAAAAAGGAGTGAGGTACTGCCACATGCTATGACATGGATGAACTTTGAAGACTCTACATTAAATGAAAGAAGCCAGCCACAAAGGACCATATGTTGCATGATTCCATTTCTATGAAATGTCTAGAATAGGGAAATCTACATAGATGATAAGTACATTAGTGATCGCCTAGGCCTGGGGGTGGGGGGTGATGCCTAAGGCGTGCATAGTTTCCCCTTGGGCTAATGAAAATGTTCTAAAATTGATCTACCGTTGATGGTTGCACAACTCTATGCAATTGAAAACCATTGAATTATAAACTTTAAGTGGGTGAATTGTGTGATATATGAATTCAATCTCAATAAAGCTGTTAAAAAAAGAAGAGATATACTCTCTTTAGTGTTGAAATAAGAAATCATGATTAGAAAATTATCCAATAAAAGAACTAACATAGGATGAGGAAGAGAGGGTAGGGTGAGGTGTATATGAATTAACTAGTAATCTATAAGAGAAAAACATCTATAAAGAATGCATAATGCTGATACATCAGAAGATAATTATTATTTAGGAATATCAAGGCAAATAAGAGAAGAAACAGCTAAGAATGTTAAAAGGCTTTGCCAATTAGGAACAGGATTTGAGGTAGAATAGGCTGAATTGTTTTTATTATAATCCCTTGTGTACCATCCGATTCTTTTCCTTTTCTAAAAAAACATGGACATATATTGATTTGATTAGGAAATATATTTTAATTTAAAATAAAATATAGTAGGTTCCCCTACCTGCTAATTAACTTACTTTATGGTTCTCAACCAGAGGTGATTTTTGTCTCTCAAGGGACAAATATCTGGCGACATTTTTGGTTGTCCCAAATGCTATTTTGGGGGTGCAATTTGGAGGCTGCTATTGGCATCTAATGGATAGAGGCCAGGGATGCTGATCAATGTTCTACAATGCACAGGACAGTCCCCACAGTAAAGAATGACCCAGTCTAAATGTCAAAAATGTCAAGGTTGAGAAACCTGGCTTTTAAAACATTATCTTCATAGCTGTTTCCACCAATGCAGTTGTAACAGCAAATGCTCTGGAATCTCATGCCCTGACTTAGCTTTCCACCAACATCACTTACTTCTCAGCCTCAGTTTTCACATCTTTAGAATGGGGGCTGATAACACAAACTGCTTCTTTGGAAGACTGATCCAATGCCTGCAAGCCACCATGAGTCTGTAATACGGAATGTTCAATTTATACTGGTCATCATTATTTTTGACTGTATCCGTCTCCCTGGTAAAAGGGCAGAAGATGAAGAACTATTTCTCAAATATAGAGAATAGTTAAGTGCTCCCTCAGTTGGGGGCTGTGTTTTTGTTTTGTTTGTTTGTTTGTTGCTTCTTAACCAGGAGTGTTGGAATGCATCTGGAAACTCCCTTCCCCCATGAAACAGGGTGAGAAGTAAGTGAACTGACATAAAGAAATTCCAGTGGAAATGTGAGGTGCTGGGCACTAAAAGCGTAGGTCCTTGTAAGGGAAGAGACCAGCAGGAGCAAACATTCGGTAAATAGATGTAGAGGAACACAGGTTATTTCTATCTTCTGCCAGCCCCCAGGACAGAGCAGTGAAGCTGTGTAGGGCTAAATGACTGTTAAGTTCACCTATTGCTGGCCACCCTTCACCCCCACAACCATACACATCTCAGAGTTTGCTCACCTATAAAATATGGGAACATTGTGCCCACACTGCAAGGATTCTGTACGAATTCCATGAGATAAGAAGCATGCGAACTGCCTGCAATCAGTCATGGCTATCTCTTAGTGTTTGATAACATTTGCATGAGGACCCAGTCCTGAGAAAACTGCTTACCTAGAACCATGTGCAAAGACCTTTCTCTCATCAATGCTCTCATTTAATTGGAGGTAGTTTATGTCTTCTTTATAAGCAAGAGCAACTGAGTTTAGAAGAGAAGTGTTTCCGTTGTGCGCATACTTCTGCAAGAAAAGAAGAAGAAGAAGTGTTGTGCCCAAGGTGACACAGTGGCTAAGGGCCGCCTCTGAGATTCAGACTCACACAAGATCAAACTTTCTGACTCTCCTCTCAGATTTGCCCCTCAAGTTGTCCTACCCTGTGCCCACTGGCTAGTTCTAGATCCAACTCATCCATGCTTCTCAAAACTGCTACCTAGCCCCCCAACCCAATCCCAGATGGGTTTCTTTAGGAATTATTCCCACTCAAGCTTTTCACATTCTGTTCTCCTCCACAGCCCCATTCCCATCTTGGTAGACTCTAACTCTACCTCTTCTTCCCCATCAGGTTTGAATTAGGGGTGAATAGGGAAGTAAGAAGGAAAAAAAATTTGTTGGTGAAAGTCAAAAGTCAAAAGGCTTGCTATCCTGGTAAATTTAATATCGTTTATTTAGGGGGGAACCTTTGCCCTCGCTGCTTGGAGGAGGAGCGGAGGGAAGACCCTGGGAAGCTGAGCTTCCCCTTGGACGGTGGGAGTGGGAGCATTCCTGGGGTCCTTTTGAAAAGGCCCTCCCCTCATTTCCGGCCGCCGCTGCCAGCCTTGGCTGGGCGCCTGGATCCTGTTGCTATGACGACAGGAAGAGGCGGTGGCGGCGGCAAGCGATGCTGAAGAGAGATGGAGGCTAGTGGGGGTGGGGGTGGCGGCTTTGAAATGGGGTTGGGGGTAGGGATCCGGGCCGGGGATGCGGGTGGGGGAGGGGGCAGGGGTATCCTTTATTGCTAACCTCCTTAACGCATCCGGGCCTGACCCCCGCTCTCATTATTTTTCTCTGGCTGCCTTTTGGTGCCTGCTCAGCCTCTATGTCTGTCTCTGGCTCTCTGGATCTCTCTCTCTTCCTGTCTCCATCTCTCTCGCTCTATCTCTCTCTTTGGGTCTCTTTCTCTTCTTCTGCACCTGCCTTTCCAGGTACTTTCTGCCATCCAGACCCTTCGATCCTAAATTTCTCGCATTTACTCTCTTGTTTCCTCTCTCTCTGTCTGCATTTTTTCTCCCTCTAAAGCATTCTTCTCTCTACCAAGACCTTGCCCCCATCCCCAATTTCTCTCCCTCCCCCTCTCTCTTTCCCTGCCCCCCTCCCCCATCCTCGCAGTCTCTTTCTGTCTGTCTCTCCCCATCTGTCTCTCCTCCTCCCTCTCTGGATGACTCTCTCCCTCGCTCTTCTTCCCTTCTGTTACCCAGATCCTGACCCCCCCATCTTCTCCTGTACCCCAAGCCTCCCCCACCCCATCCCCCACCTCACCCCCTGTCTCTTGGTTTCTCTTTGGGTCTCTGTCTCTGTCCCCTTCTTTCTCTGGATATTTCTCTGTGTGTGTGTGTCTCTCCAACTTCCTTCTGCTCCCAGTCGCTGCCTCCCCCAATTTTCTCCCTCCCCCATTTCTGTTTCGCGGTCTCTGGGTCTCTCTCTCTCTCCGTTTCTCCTTGTCTCTCTCTCTGTCTCTCTCCCTCCCTCTCTGGATCGCTCTCTTTCCCCAGCTTCCTTCTGCCACCCAGACCCTGCCCCCCCACCGCCTCCCTTCCCCCCATCCCTCTCCTCTCGGTGGCTCCCCCATCCCTCAGCAGCTCCCCTCCCCCTCCCTGCTCCCTCCCTCTCGTCCTCCAGCTCCGCACTTTACCCAGCGACACGAGAACCAAATTGTCTCCTCACCTTTTTTCCCCATATCCCGACCCTCACTCCCTTGGGGCCCAAGCTCAGAGCTGCCCCTCAGCTGCAACCTGCCCCCAACGCCCCGTTCCCCATTCGCCTCCTCACCTCCGTCCCCCAACCAGGTCGGACGCCTGGGTCCCTCACTGCTGGGGGAGGGGGACGCAGCGAGAATTGGGAGCCCAAAGGGTTTTTCTGGGGGGGGTGCCGGCCGGGGGGGTTCGACGTCCCCTCCCCAGTGCATCGGAGAGTTGACCTATCGTCAACAGAGGTGAGACAGATCTTTTTATTAATCGGAGGTGGGTGGATGAGGAATTAAGGTTCTGTGACCGCCCCCCCCCCAATTCTGGAGAAAAGAGCTGGTCCCCTTCAGAAGGAGAAAGGATGGTGACCCCCATATCCGGAAGCTTTAGAATTGGGGGTCCTCTGCTCTCTCCTCCTTTGCAGCCTCTGACAGATGGATTGAATGAAGAGTCCCTAAAACCAAACAGATTGTCCCCCCAAATTGACAAAATGAAAAGATCTTCAATTTTTTTTTTTTTTGGTGGAGAATTTCCCTCCTTTCCCTCCTCATCCCTTCCCCTCTAGTCTTGTTAGGGGCCCAGGGTCATGGGCTGGCCGGTGGAAGCAGAAATCTGTTAAGACGGTGGAAGTGGCAGTGCTGGTGGTGAGGGGCACAGATGCGGGGACAGGAGGCTGAGAGAGCAGGAGGAGAGGAAACTCCGCGTCTGGAGAGAAATGAGAGGAAGGGGCCCATGCTGAGGAGAGGGCGGCTGGGGGGTGCCAGTGTCCGTGGCTGCGCTGGGGAACAGTGGCCCCAGGAAGGGCTGTGTGTGGGCAGGCAGGAGTTGAGGTGGGGGAGGGAACACAATGTGTGGGGCACCAGGCCCAGTTGCCATGGAGACACCCCCCATAGACAACCTTTTCCAACAGCCCCTCCTGGGAGCAGACCCAGTCTGGGGCCAGCTGATGGAGGGGGGTGGAGACAGGGAAGAAACTAGGAGGCCAAGGTCACCCTGTACTGGGACCTAGGGTTTTTTCTGTTTTTGTTTTTCCCTTCCCCTCCTCTGAGGTTTCTGGGGAACTGTAGGGGATTTGGGGGAAGAAGTCTGGGGAAGCGGTGGAAGCGAGGAAGGAGTACATGCCCAGGAGTAGAGTTGGGGTAAGGTGGAAATGGCAGGGCTGGGGGCACAGGGGTGGGAATAACGTGGAAGCAGGAAATGAATGGACCATGGGAGGGTGCAGAGTGGCAAAGTATTCCTAATTGAGAAGAGAGTTGTAGTCTCGTGGATCCCATTTTTCTGAGAAGTGCAGTCTGTTGAGATCTTTTAAAATTCGAGAGAGGATGGGATTACAGGGTTACAGCGTGTGTTCCTGCACAGGTAGAAAGTGGGGGGGGCAGAGGGTGTGTTCCCGAGAAGGGAGGTTGGTGGGGACCTGCAGAGGGGCTTTTCTGGGTAGAGGAGAAGCTGGGAGCTGTAGCAGGAGGAGGACGTGGGCAGAAGTCAAGGGGATCCTTTCTGATGGAAGAGAAGTTGGGGAGGGTGGTTTCTTGTAAGTTGAAGAGAGAGTGGGGCTGGCAGTGAGTTGGGGAGATCTAAAGTCGGGGGGCTCCTGGGTGCTGAAGATTGTGTGTGCTGAGGGAGGGGATCTGGAGGCAGGAGGAGATGGTGGCAGGGCAGAGGAAGGGGGGAATGAATACTGGGCAGACTGGGGGTGCAATGCACTCCCCGCAATGGGAGCACAGGCCAGAGAACAGGACATTTCGGAGTGGAGAGACATTTGGGGTCTAGAGGAAAATCTTGTGAGTAGAAAATGCTGTGGAGCTCAGGAAGGAAATTTTTCTTAATGGAGGAGAAAACGATGGTTATGATGAGTCTAAGTTGTAAGGGGGGGGCAGATCCGGAAGACTTTTTTAAGCAAGGGAGAAAGGGGGGGTTTCCTTGAGTCAAAGACATAGTAGGGGTGGCGAGTGAGTGGTCGGTGGGGAGACAGTGGAGGCTGCGAGAGGGAGGGTGGTGGAGACACGGGGGCATCTTCCAGACCACTGGGGCTGCGCGAGCTGCACAGTAGGACACCCCCAGCCCCAGCCTTTAAAAACTTAGAAGCTCAGGCCACATCCCAGACCACGTACGTCGGAATCTCCCGGGTGGGACTCACGCATCAGAACTGGTAAATGTCCTCTGGTGATTTCGAGGTGTGTCGGGGGCTGCAAGCCCCTGGCCTGACACCCAGGGGCCTGGGCCGAGCGAGGAAGGGGGTTTGCACGCGGGGCCCAGGAGGTGGTCTGGTTAGTCCCAGTTGCGCGAGGAGGGAGGGTCAGCTCCTTTTCTTTCTTTTCTTTTTTTTTTATAAGGCTGAGGAGGGACTGAGAGATTTATTTTTCTTAAAAGGAGGAGATTGTAGGAGACAACTTAGAGTCACTGAATGACAAAACAGACGGGAGGGGCTGGTGGAGTTCATTTCCACATACGTGGTGGCATGGTGGGGGCTTCGTAAGCTGTGGAGAGACTCGGAAAAGTTGGGGAGGCGACGGGGAAGGGCTCCTCTCAGCAGAGGTCCCAGCAGGTGCAGACGCGGGACGCTCAGCGGCAGAGTGGAGGGACGCGTCTGGGGAGAGAGTGGGGACCCGCGCAGGGCTGCAGGGCGTGGGGACCGCGACGGGGCTCTCGGGCGGGCGGCGGGGGCGGGAAGGGCGGCTTCCCCGGCGGGCGCGGGCCGGGAGCGCGGGGGGCGGCGGAGCCGGGGAGCGTGCGCCGTGCTCGTGCGTTGGGGGTTCTCCGAGCGGGCTTAGCGCGACGACTGTGTCGCGCGGAAGGCAGTACTAGAGGGAGCTTTGCCGAGGAGGGAGGCGGCGGGGACCGGCGTGGAAGGAGTTCCTGCCACCGAGGCATAGTTTCTGCGAGTGGGGCGGGGGCGGGCACTGGGGAGGTCCCTGCGCCTTGCGCTCTAACCGCGCTCTCGCTCCTGCCTCGCCAGCCGCCGACCATGGCCGCACTCTGACCCCGTCCCTCCGCAGCCTCGCGCCGCCGCCGACCCCTCCCCAGCCCCGCGGGCCCCGGCCCCCGCTTCCGCCTGCGCTGTGACCCCCCCCAGCCGCCGGCACGGCCCCGCCCCCGCTGCCCCGGTGGTGGCCCGCGGCCCCCCGGCTGCCGGTGGTCAAACTGGAGTCGCTGAAGCGCTGGAACGAGGAGAGGGGCCTGTGGTGCGAGAAGGGCGTGCAGGTGCTGCTGACCACGGTGGGCGCCTTCGCCGCCTTCGGCCTCATGACGATCGCCATCAGCACCGACTACTGGCTCTACACGCGCGCCTTCATCTGCAACACCACCAACCTCACGGCCGGCGACGACGGGCCCCCCCACCGCGGGGGCGGCGGCTCCTCCGAGAAGAAGGACCCCGGCGGCCTCACGCACTCGGGCCTCTGGAGGATCTGCTGCCTGGAAGGTAGGGTGCGGGCAGGAGGCCCCCGCCGCGCGTCCCTCCAGAAGACGCGGAGCCTGGTCCTGCATCTCCCGGCCCCGGGGCCTCCGCCGGTGTCCCCTGCTCCGTCCCACGCAGACCCCAGCCGCGCTCCCTGCCTTCAACTCCTGGCCGCGTCCTGGGCCACTGCTGGGGGACGCCCCCTCCTCTCTGCACCCTCTGTCCCTCGTCTCATCTTCCCGCACCCACGTCTCCCAGCGCCCCTCTTCCCGCCGTCCAGGCCGGCCCCCCTTCCCCTCTGCCCTCTGCCCTCTCCCCCCTCTCGGGGCTGTCTGGACCCGCTCCTCCTCCCACCCGCCCCTCATCTCATCTCATCTCCGCGGCGCCCGCCCTCCCCACGTGCTCCCGGCCTGGGGGTGTCCCTGCCGTCCTCGGTCCTGCGTCTCCTCCGCCCCCTCTTTGGCTGCGCTCTCCTCGGCAACTTCGTGTCTTCCCTCACACAACTCATGACCGCTCCTTTCCCCCCTCGTTGCTTTTCCTCCGTGGATGTTGTCTGTCCCCATCAGCTCCCCCCACTTAGGACGTTCTCCCGCCTCCGCCATCCTGGCCCTTTCCCTCCTCTCTCCTCCAGACGGGTCCACTCGGTCCCCCCTCGACTCCACTCGTGCTTCCTGCTTCTCACGCGTCCACGCCTCCTTGCTCGCCGCGAAAGCTCCTCTCTCCTGGCCCCGCTGCGTCTTACCATCTCCATCTTTGCTCTTCCCCTCCGTCCTGTTTCCCCTCTGTCCCAGCTGGACCCCTCTGGGTCCCTCCCCCCCGCGTCTCTGAGACTCCTGCCCTCTCCGCTCCTTCACTCTCCTTCACTCGCTCGCCCACTCCCAGCCAGTGCTTCTTCCCCGCGGGGCTCAGAGGCCGGGCTGGGAAGCAGGAGTCCTGGGCGCATCTGTGCCCCGTGTGACCGCTACTTCTCCGTTCCAGCCGCACAGCCCCCGCCTGCGACATGAAGGAGCGGGACTCACAGTCCCGATGTTCTCCCGCCCCCGCACCAAAAGATTGGACTCTCTTCACCTCTTTTTCATTCCCCTCTTTTCCTCCTGTCCCTTCCTCTCTGTTTTGCTGAGCACGCACCACAAGCCAGGAACATTGTCTCCTTTAGTCCTATGAGGTGGGCACCACCTTCCTGCTGGGGATGAGGAAACCGAGGCTCAGAGAGGTTAAGCCTCTTGCCCAAGGTTGCCCAGCTGGGAAAAGGGGCAGAGCCAAGAGGCGAACTCATATCTGATGGATGGGATTTGCAGATGCCCCCTGTCTGGCGTGTGGAGTGTTTCAAACTGAAACCAAAAATCTGAATCCATTGCCATCATTTAAAAACAGGGAGACGTCACATTGTAGATCTGATTTCCGGCTTCTTTGGAGCTGTCAGAGATCTGACAACGCCGGCCTGCCTTGCACCCTGACCACGGGGCTCTGCGTCTTCAGAGCAGGCGTGGGTGGGGGCTCCATTTCTCTGCAGTCCCCTCCGCTCCCTATTGTCTCACATCCCCCCCTCCCCGCCACCTCTCTCTTGATGTTGCTTTCTTCCTCTTGTGGATGTTTGAGCTCATGTCCAGTCACTGGTCTGACCAAGCACCAGGCACAGAGCCAAGTGTGGGGGCTCCCATCATGAACCCCTTAGGACAGTGTATGGCATTCAGTAAGAATGCCATTCATTCAGTCAGTCAGTCATGCAACAACCAATCTTGACTGAGTTTGTACTGAGTGGCAGGCATTGTTCTGGGTTCAGTGGGGGGAAAAACAACCAGGTGAATATCCCTGTCTTTATCTATCTTCTATTCTAGAGGGAAAGACAGATAATAATGGAGATAAATAAATAAAACAGAGTGATAGAACTGAGCACTAAGGAGGAAAAGAAGTAGGGGAGGGGAGGGCAAGTGTCAGGGGCACATGTGGGAAGTAGATAAGGAAGCTAGGAAAAGCTTCATTGAGCAGGCGACATTTGAAAGGACATCTAAAAGGAGTGGAGACACGTAGATATCTGGAGGAAAGTACTTTGGGCTGTGGAAGCGCAGGTGCAAAGGACCTCAGTAGGAGTGTGCCTGTGTGTTTGACCACAAGTGGGAGGGCAGCGTGGCCAGGGCAGAGTGGGTGATGGGGAGAGGGGGAACATCATGGGAGGTTCAGTCAAACAGGTAACACGGTCCCAATCTCACAAGTTCTTATATATCCTAGAAAGGACTTTGCTTTACACTTCAAGATGGGAGCCATTGAAGGTTCTTGAGCAGAGGAGTAGTATGAGCTGATTTAAATTTTAATACAACGGCTGTGTTGGGAAATGACTGAGGGGAAGGCAAATGAGACAACAGGAGGTGGTTGGCCTAGGGTGGGAGCAACAGAGTTTGGGAAGTGGTTTGAATTCATAGTATATTCTGGAGCCAGTGTGGGCAGGAATTGCTGATGGAGCAGTTGTAGGATAGGAGAGCCAGAAGACTCAGGGATGTCTTCAAAGGAGGATTTCTCAACCCCAGCACTGCTGACATTTTGGGATGGATGATTCTGGGTGGCGGGGCCTGTCCTGTGCATTGTAGGATGTTGGGCAGCGTCCTTGGGCTGTACCCACTAGATGCCAGCAGCAACCTTCCCAGTTGTGGCAACCAAAATTGTAAACCGTCTCTGAGCATTGCCAACTGTGCCCTGGGGGATAAAATTCCCCTAGTCCAGAATCACCACTCTAAGGCCTTGGCCTGAGCCCCTGAGCAGGGGGTAGCCATGCATAAGATGGAAAAGGGAGTATTTTATTTTATTTATTTTATAATGGATTTTATTTTTATCAGGTAACACTTCGTTTCATAAAATAGAATAAGTGTTCCCCTACTTTATTCCTTTTATTTTCTTTTTTTTTTTGAGACAGAGTCTCACTCAGTCACCCTGGGCAGAGTGTCATGGCGTTAGCCTAGCTCACAGCAACCTCAAACTCTTGGGCTCAAGCGATCCTCCTGCCTCTGCCTCCCAAGTTGCTGGGACTACAGGCGCTCACCATCATGGCCAGCTAATTTTTTGTTTCTAGTTTTAGTTGCCTGGCTAATTTTTTCTATTTTTAGTAGATGGGGTATCCCTCTTGCTCAGGCTTGTCTCAAACTCCTGACCTCAAGTGATCCTCCTATCTTGGCCACCCAGAGTTCTAGGATGACAGGCATGAGCCACAGCGCCCAGGCCCTTTTATTTTCTCTTAATCAGGTTTATAATTAAAGGAGATATATCATGGGCTCAGTTTTAGACATGTTAAACTTAAGATGCCTGAAAGATAACACGGGGACAAGAGTCAGCAGAGTGAAGGGCCTATAAAGTTGCATGTCGGTAAGTATTTTAGGCTTCGTGGAGCATACAGTCTCTGTCACAACTACTCAGAAAAGCAATCAGAGACAATACCTAAGTGAGTGAGCATGGCTGTGTTTTAATTAAACTTTGCTTATAAATTTCATGTAATTTTCACATGCCATGAGATCGTCCTCGTCTTTGATATTTTCTCAGTCATTTAAAACATGTCGCACTCATTCTTAGCTGGATCTGGCCGGTGGGCTGTATTTTGCTGACCCCTGATCTAGGTTGTTAGAGAGATGATGTTTGAGGTTAAGGCTCTGGGAAGAGTGGGACTGGAAATATAAATTTGAGGGTCATCAGCGTATGAATGGATGCAGTCACTTAGAGGAGAGGAGACAGAAACAAATCAAAAAAGTAGTTGCAGGGTTGAAGCCAGAGCCAGCCCCCTATTGAAACAAGAGGCCACCAAAGGGAGTTGAGAAAGCTACAGGTTTGGGGAAACTGGGTAAGTGGGTGTCCTGGAAGCCAAAGGAAGTCAGTGTTTCCAGGAGGGGAGGAAGGAAGGCTGACTTTATTGTTCCTATAATTGTCATTCATTTGTCACTGAATACTCACAATAACCCTGCAAAGTAGGTACTATGATTACCCCCATCTTCTAGAAGAGGAAGCTAAAGCTCAGTGAAATGAAGTAACTCACCCAAGGTGACATAGCTAACACGCAGTAGGGTCTGGATTTGAATGCAGGTCTGTTTTGTTTCCCCCAGAGAACAAAGCGACAAACCCACCCACTTTCAGCCCATCTGGGTTCCAGAAATATAGAAACTGGAGCCCCTGAGCCATGGCCTCCTGAAGTCACTGTGCCCCTGGGAATTCTTGGGCTCAATCTCCAGCTTCCTTTGGAGCATCTCTCTGAGAAATGCAGAGAATGTAATGGTTGAGATGCAAACTGAGAACAAGACTGACTTGGTGTAGCTCCTGCCTGTCACGTCCCACAGGGTGACCTCCAGCCATATTTTTAACATCTCTGTCCCTCATTTCCACCATCGGAAAATGAAGGTCACAATAGCCCCTAACTCCTAGGGTCAGGGAGGGATTTGATGGGTTCATATGTGCAAAGTCTTTTTTTTTTCCATCTATGATTGTAAATTAATGGCAGAAAATGTGCAAAGTCTTTAAAAGGATTGCAGGCATAGAGTAAGGGCTAGTTTATGTACTTTAGATTTTGTTGTTATTGCTGCTTGTGCTGCTGTGTTCTTCTTATTTTTAGGAATGCGGGTGACCAAGCCCTGAGTCCTTCCTCCCTGATAACCAGAAGTCCCAGCCCCTAGTCCAGCACGGCCCAACAGAAATATAACATGAGCCACATAAGACAATGAACATTTTTGTAGTAGCTGCATTAAAATAGATAAAAAAGAAACAGGTGAACTTGACCATATATTTTCTTTAACCCAGCACAGCCAAAATATTATCATTTGAGTGTGTAATCAATATAAAACATTGTTAATGAAATATCATACATTCTCTGTCACTCTCTCTTTTTTTCTTTCCATTCTGAGTCTGAAATCTAGTACATACTTTACCCTCAAGGTACATCTCAGTTGCCACATTACAAGTGCTCCAGAGCCACTCGGGGCTGGTGGCATCCACATGGGACAGCCCAGCTTAAGGCCCCTCCTAAGGGATTTGAGCTGCACGCCCAGGTCCTCTGTCAGGACTCAAGAACCTGGACCCGCAGCCCTGTTTATTAGCGCTGACTATGTAAAGCCCCTGTGCTAAGCGCTTTCCCTGCCTTATTACCTCATTGAATCCTCACAATTGTGCCAGGGGGAAGGTATTATTAGCAGGAAGCTGATGGCCAGAAAGGGGAAGTGACTCAGCCTGGGCCACCCAGCATGTGAGGGGCAGAGCAGGCTGGATCCCAGTTCTCACATGTCCTTGCCGAAACAAAGCTGAGGGGGGCGGGGTAACGACAGCACCATCCTTGCACGGAAAAAGCTCCTAGCTCAATCGGTGCAGGCGTAGGACGCAACTACCCTGTATTCTGTGCTTCACTTTCATTGAAATCTCACTGAAATCATACAAAGTTATTTTCCCAATGAGGAAGCAGAGGCCCATGGACAGTCGGGTTCCAAAAACCACACAGCTGGGAAGTGGCAGCATCAGGGTGAAAAGTCCAGAGAGTTTGATTATGGGGCCCAGGCTCAAATAACCACCATAGCCACCACACTCTACTGTCTTGAATATGCAGAGCTCCCAAACTGAGCTGTGCTCGAACCTCCTCCCCATGACTTAATCTCTAGATGGGCAACTTCTTCAACTCTCTGTGCCTCAGTTTCCTCATTTGTAAAGGCAGTTTATCCATTCAACTGTCTACCTTCCAGGGTTTGGCCTAAGGATTGAGTGAGTTAATTAACTACCCATCAAATGCTTAGAGAAGTGCCTGGTGCATGGTTAGCTCTCAGTGAGTGCTAGTTATCATTCTTACTGTCACCACTAATCTGCTGAGAGATCCTGCGTGCCATGTGGTTTGCATGCTCAATCTCATTTAATTATCACTAATGTTTCAAGAGGAGTACTATGATCCCGTTGAAGAAAAGAGGGAACTTGAGTCCACAATCTTACCTACCACACACCATGATGGAAGTGCTCATGGGTAAGAGTTTGCACTTGGGAATTGTATGCTCATTCATTCATTCTTTTTAAAAACTGTGGTAAATTACACATAACACAAACTTACCATCTTTTTTTTTTTTTGAGACAGAGTCTCGCTTTGTTGCCCAGGCTAGAGTGAGTGCCCTGGCGTCAGCCTAGCTTACAGCAACCTCAATCTCCTGGGCTCAAGCAATCCTGCTGCCTCAGCCTCCCGAGTAGCTGGGACTACAGGCATGCGCCACCATGCCCGGCTAATTTTTTCTCTATATATTAGTTAGCCAATTAATTTCTTTCTATTTATAGTAGAGATGGGGTCTCGCTCTTGCTTAGGCTGGTTTTGAATCCCTGACCTTGAGCAATTCGCCTGCCTTGGCCTCCCAGAGAGCTAGGATTACAGGCGTGAGCCACCGCACCTGGCCACAAATTTACCAACTTAATCATTTTTAAGTATGCACTTCAGTAGTGTTAAGTGTACTCACATTGTTGTGCAGCCAATCTCCAAAATTCTTTTTATCTTGCAACACTGAAATTCTGTACCAATAAACAACCCTGCATTACCTACCCTCACCTTCATCCCTTGCAACTACCATTCTACTTTCTGTGAATTTGATTACTCTCTGTTAATTTGGTTATTTTAGGTATCTCATATAAGTGGAATCATAAAGCGTTTGTCTTTTTGTTACCAGCTTATTTGACTTAGTATAATGTCTGCAAGTATAATGTCTACGCTACAGCACATGTCATAAATGTCTACGCTACAGCACATGTCATAATTCCCTTCCTTTTAAAGGCTGAATAATATTCCATTGTATGTACAGACCACATTTTGTTTATCCATTTATCTGTCAACGGGCATTTGGGTGTTTTCACTTTTTGTCTATTGTGAATAATGCTACTATGAACACAGGTGTACAAATATCTATTTGAGTCCCTGCTTTCAGTTCTTTTGGGTATATCCCCAGTAGTGGGATTGCTAGATCATATGGTAGTTCTATTTTTAATTTTTTGAGGTACCTCCATACTGTCTTCCATAGCTGCTGCACCGTTCCTGCCAACAGTGCACAGGGTTCCAATTTTTCCACATCCTTGCCAACACTCGTTATTTTATTTTCTGGTTTTTTTTTTTATAGTAGCCATCCTAATGGGTATAAGACGGTATCCCATTGTGCTTTTGATTGCACTTCCCTAATGATTAGTGATGTTTAGCATCTTTTCGTGTGCTTGTTGGCCCATTGAGCTATTCTTTCATTAAAAATACTTGGTAAGCACTTGTTCTAGATGCTGGTAACACAGTGGCAAACAGCCCAGATGCTTACATTTACGATGTGTGTTTGACTTCTGCTTTCATCATCCATCAGCTGTGATTTGATGAAACTTTTCTGTGCCTTGGTTTCCACATCTGGGCAATGGGTACGATATAAACTGCTATCAACTGAGCACTTAATTGTGTTCCAGGCAAAATGCTAAATCTCTTTACCTGGATCCAAGCCTCACAATAACCCTGTGAGGTAGGTCCTATTATCTGTTTCCTATAGGTGAGGGAACTGAAGCAAGTTGGCCTACATAATGCCAACAAGGACACAGAATAAGGAAGTGGTGGAGACACTCTGAAATCTAACATTTGGCCACCAGACAACACCAACAACATTATGTTTCATGGGACTCTTGGGAGCACTGAATGAGTTAATCCACTTAGGAAGCACATAACACACGTTAGATCTTGGTTCTATTACTCACTGTCTTATGGACATTCTTCCCAATTCTTTTCTTTATCCCCATTTTTTCCCCTGCTTTCCTTTGCCCATCATGGTCTGCCTCTAACCTCCCTTTCTGCTATGCTTATATTCATTCATTATTTCATTCATTCATTCAACACCCATTTCTTGAGGCCTCCTGTGTGCCAAGCCTCCTACCAGGCAATGCTAGGGACAGTGAGGGATGGGACCCCCTTGCCCTACCCCTCTCCAGGAATTCCCTGCTTGCCGAGGACAAAGAAGATCATAAATCAACATGATGCATGTCCTAGAGAGCACCCCAGAACAGGAAACTGACCCAACTCTGGTGGGAAGAGTGAGCATGTGTGTGTGTGTATCTAGGGAAACTTCCACACAAAGGTGTCCCCTGAGCTGCCCGCTGCAGGGTAAGTATCACATCAGCAAAGAATGTGAATGGAATGTTCCACAGCATGGGCAAAGCCCTGGAGATTGGGGGAAGCTTGGAGAGTTGAGAAAACTAAACATTTCATACTTACATTTATATTTATTTTCTCCAGCTATGTGCTAGAGGTAGTAAAACAGAAACTGGTCCCAAAGATGAGAAGATAGGTGAAGACCAACACCTTAGGAGGGGATTTTGGGATGGAGGTAGGGGCTGAGACTGCATGACCCTAGAGACGTACTCCAGGCCTTGAAACGTCTCTCTTTGCTTCAGCCACTCCATGTCTTTCCAGAGGTTTCTACATTCCGTGCAGAAAGACACTAGGAATCCCACTCTAGACACAGGACTGAAGAGACTACAACTCCCATGACCCACTGGGGCTGCTCGCCTCTCAATTGGATTCAAGACTTCACAGCGCCTCATGGGAAATGTAGTCCTCATCGCCCTCCGCAGGCCTTTCCCGTTTACCAACGCACTTTAACACTTCCCAACAAGTTCAGAGTCTGAAAGGCGCCTTGAGGTTGTTGAAGCCAACACCCCTTTCTTATAGAGGGGAAGCCTAAGCCCAAAGTGGTTGAGTAAGTTAGTCCAGGTTACAGGGTAAAGGTCCTTGTGACCTTGTGGTGGGTGCTGGAAAGATACTAGCTCCCCTCTCTTTTCCTTTTATTTTTGAAACAGGTGGGGAAACTGAGACCAGAGAGGTTGAAAGTTTGTCCCAAATCACGAGACAGGCTCAGCAACCAGGACATCTTGCCTCTCAATAAGCCCAGAGAGAATTGGTCTGGGGAAGGGGAGGTCTTCTCTCACTGGGGGTTGCCCCGCCCCCAACTCTGAAGTCCCCACCCCCACAACCCCATTCCCCTCCTCCAGGATTGAAAAGAGGTGTCTGCGTGAAGATCAATCACTTCCCGGAGGACACGGACTACGACCATGACAGCGCGGAGTATCTACTCCGTACGTGAGGGTCAGGACAGGACGGGGTGGCGGGCGGGGCGGGAGAAAGGCCTGGGACCCCGCACTTGGATCCACACGCAGAGGTTAGCTTCCCAGCAAGCCCAGTCCAGATGCTGAGATCCTGCTTCCCTATTGGCCCAGTGGTCTCTCTCCCGCCCCCTCCTCTCACCTTGGGGCGGGCCAAGGGGGCTCCTCGGTGCTGATTGGCCGCCTTGCTCTCCTTGGCATTCGCGGCAACTGTGCGTTGTGACTGGTTATAGATTCCGGGGCTGGGATTGGCCACTGCTTCCTGGGGCTGTGGGGCAATGTGCAGCGGGGACTGGCCACTCTCTAGAGCTGGCTGGGAAAGCCTGTGTTGCGATTGGTGGCTACCCTGAGAACGCGGCAAATCCCGAATGATGATTGGCTGCGGCCTCAGCCAGGCTCAGAAATCGCAAAATCTGGTTGCCTGGGGTTTTAGGGGTGGGTGGAAAGGACGGGAGAGACAGAGAGAGAGAGAATGAAAAAGGGAGAGAGAAGGAAGGAGGAAAAGAGGGTAGAGAGGGAGAGCAAGCCAGAAAGACAGATGAAGCCAGGAATAGAGGGCAGGGGGAAAGAGCAGACCAGAGGGAGGGAGGGGGGAAGAAAGAAGAGAAGCCCAGAAATGTAGATGAAGCCAGGCAGGAATTGGGGGGGGGAGAAAGAAGAGAGAGAAGAGAAGCCCAGAGGATAAATGAAGCCGGGCAGAAAAGAGGGGAGGGGGAGGGATATGGGGTGGGGGCAGAGAGACACCCAGAGAGAGGTGAAGTGAGGCAGAAAAGGTGGAGAGAGGTATTAAGGGATCTGATAGAAAGAGGACTCTGGAGAAAGAAATTCTCAGCAGAGAGGAAGGGAAGGGTGAGAAAGAAAAAGAAAGGGAGGATCCATAGAAAAGTTGAGAGGAAAATAGAGGGGGAGAGTGATTTAGAGAAATAAAGAGGGGGAAACGTGCCAGGAGAGAGAAAGCCCGAGGAAGAAAGAAAAGGACAAAGAAAAAGGAGACATGGGGAATAAGACCGAAAACTAGAGAAATTTTAAAAAGCGAAGGGAATGGGGCAAAAAATTTAAAACAACCAGAACACAGGCTGATGGGGAGAATTAGAGAACTGGCAGAAAAGATGCGAGACGAGAGCAGGCAGGAGGCGCCGCGGGGCGGGCGGGACGCGGCGGGGCGGGGGGCGCAGGGCGGGGGGCGCAGGGCCGCGTCTGACCGCCTCGCTCCCTCGCTCGTCCCCTTTTCGTTCCCTGCCCCTCCGCAGGAGTTGTCCGCGCCTCCAGCATCTTCCCCATCCTGAGCGCCATCCTGCTGCTGCTCGGGGGCGTGTGCGTGGCGGCCTCGCGCGTCTACAAGTCCAAGAGGAACATCATCCTGGGCGCAGGGATCCTGTTCGTGGCAGCAGGTGAGAGGCAGCGGGAGGGGGCGGCGAGTGTGTGCGTGTGTCTGCAGAGCGACCCTGCCCAGCGCCCCCGGGGGGCCCGGAGCCTTCCCGGCTCTTCCCAGGCTCCCTAGGCCACCCGCTGGGTAAGTAGGTGTAGTCTCGGCGCCGTCTTCCCAGGGTGAGCCCGCGCACACAGGTGTCTGGCGCTCGCTCAACCTGGGAAGCGGCGCGCTCAGGTTCTGACGCCCGCCGTGCGGAGACGGAAAGGGAGGAGCTTGGGAGAGGGGGTGGGACCTTGAGGCTCGGGGGCGGGGCCAGAAGACGGAGAAAGATTTGCAAGCCGAGGGGGAGGAGCCTGCTGCAAGGGGCGGGGCCTCATCGACGGTGGGGATCCAAGAAGGGGCGGGGCCAGGAAGACTGAGCAGGCCTGTGCTCCTCGCTAGCTAAGAAGGGGTGATGCCTGGAAAAGTCAGAAGGGGAGAGGTTATGTCGTGCAGGGCACAGAGAGTCAACTGGCTGATTCGAGAGACGGACCAAGGCCAAACCTCCAGAGCTAGGACCTAGACTAGCAGAGATAGGACTGAAGACTCAGGAGGCAGGGGGCCCAGACCAACTCAAGAGGCATGTCTTTGAGGGGGAGGACCGCCTTTCTACCCTAAATGCCTAGCGCGGGGAAATTCCAGGGGCACAACTCTTTTGAAGGGGTGACTACAGGGAAGAGTGAGGAGGAATTCGCGTATTTATAGAGCAGGCTGTGCTTTGGGCGGGTCTAGCTCCCCAGCTGCGGGGTGTGGAGGACCTGAAAGGCGGGCCTAGCTGGACCTGGGGTAGAGGCAGGAGGCTGGCCCAGACCTGCAGGAGGCAGGCCTTGCCAAACTGGAGGAGGGGCCTAGGACTGAGGGAGGGGACCTGATGTATTAAGGGCAAATTTTAGACCAGCAGGGGAGGACCTAGAATAGATACCCAGGCTGGGATTGTATCATGAAGGGAGAGTTAGATCAGTAATGGGTAAGGCCTAGGGAGTTAGCAGGATTACATCGTTAACAGAGTTCAAAGGAGCAGAGGGGTAGGACCTGAGGAGAACCCAGAATCCAGATTCATAACGTTGAGGGTGGTTAGACTAACTAGGGTAGGGCCTGGAAACTCAGGCTGAAACCATCTCCTCAAGGGTAGATTTTGAACCAGTCAAGGCAGAGCCTGGACTAGCTGGGGTTAGGCCGTCTAGGAGTACGGCCTGGACAACTGGGGCAGCAGTTTAGACCAGCCGGGGTGGGCTTTAGACCAGCAGAAGCCAGGCCTTGGCTAGCTGGAGTTGGGCCTAGGCCATCTGGGGGTGGTCCTAGGCCCCTGGGGCAGGCTTTAGACCAGCAGAGGTGAGGCCTAGGCTGTCTGGGGGCAGGGCCTGGGCTATTCAGAACCCTGTCTGGCCTGTTTGGGGCAGGGACTGGACCAACCGGCCATGGAGTTTAGACAATCTGAGGTGGGACTTGAGCCAGCCAAGGTCTAGACCATCCAGGATGGGGTCTGGACCATAGGAGTGGGGCCTAGACTAGCAGGCGGGGCTACTTGGGATGCGGGGCAGGCCACCCTTGGGCAAGGCCAGTAGCAGCTGGGAAAGTTTTGACCGTCTAGGACAGGGCTTGCTCTGGATGGTCCAGGCTGGTGTCTGGCCCATTTGGGCCACCTGGAGCTGGAGTTTAGACCAATGGGAAGTAGGCCCCAGACCACCTGAGGCAGTTTAGACCAGCCAGGGCTGGATTTAGACCAGCAGAGGTGGGGCTTGGGCTGGTTAGCAGTGGAGGGGTGGGGAACTTGCGGCTTTGGGGCCACATGTGGCCTTCTGGATCCTAGAATGAGGCCTTTTGACTGAATCCACATTTTAGAGAACAAATCCTTTTAAAAGTGATTTGGATTCGGTTGAGGGGCTGCACTTGGGGATCTGGGGGGCTGCATGTGGCCTTGAGGCCCAAGGTTCCTCAGGCCATCTTGGGTGGAGCTTAGACCATCCAGGTGGGGCCCAGCCCATTCGGGCGGGGCCTGGAGCACCTAGGGATGGAGCTGCGACCCGGGGGCGGGCCGGGGCCTTGGGGACACACGGTGCGGACCGCGGGGGCGGGCGGGGCGGGGCGGGCGGGCGTGGCCTCGAGGCTCCCGTCTGCCCATCCCGCCCAGGCCTGAGCAACATCATCGGCGTGATCGTGTACATCTCGGCCAACGCGGGCGAGCCGGGCCCGAAGCGGGACGAGGAGAAGAAAAGCCACTACTCGTACGGCTGGTCCTTCTACTTCGGCGGGCTGTCGTTCATCCTGGCCGAGGTGATCGGCGTGCTGGCCGTCAACATCTACATCGAGCGCAGCCGCGAGGCGCACTGCCAGTCCCGCTCGGACCTGCTCAAGGCCGGCGGGGGCGCGGGCGGCAGTGGCGGGAGCGGCCCCTCGGCCATCCTCCGTCTGCCCAGTTACCGGTTCCGCTACCGCCGCCGCTCCCGCTCTAGCTCCCGCTCCAGCGAGCCGTCGCCGTCGCGGGACGCGTCTCCCGGCGGCCCGGGCGGCCCGGGCTTCGCCTCCACGGACATCTCCATGTACACGCTCAGCCGCGACCCGTCCAAGGGCAGCGTGGCCGCGGGGCTGGCGGGCGCCGGCGGCGGCGTGGGGGCCTACGGCGGCGCGGCGGCGGCGCGGGGCGCGGGCGCGGGGCGCGGAGCGGGACCGCGGGGCGGCGTCCGGCTTCCTCACGCTGCACAACGCCTTCCCCAAGGAGGCGGGCGGAGGCGTGACGGTCACGGTCACCGGGCCGCCCTCCGCGCCCGCGCCCGCGCCCCCCGCGCCCGCCGCGCCCACCCCCGGGACCCTGGCCAAGGAGGCCGCCGCCTCCAACACCAACACGCTCAACAGGAAAACCACGCCGGTGTAGGGGCGCGGCCGGGAGCCGAGGGGGGCGTGTGCGGGGCGCGTGCGCGGGCGCGCGTGCAACCAGGCTGCCGGGGTCGGGACGCCCCGCCCTCCCCGCGAGCGCGCCGGAGACTGCTTGGCCCTCCCCGCACCCCGTCCCCACCCCGGGCTTGGGGAGCGCCCCCACCCTCCGAAGCAGGGACCCCGAGCGAGGGGAAAGGGAAGGGAGGGGGCCTTTGAGAGGGAGCGTCGTGTTTTATTTTTCTGTGGGATTTAGGGGGAGGGGGGAGGGCCATGGTGTTTTTTGCAGTTTTGAGATGTTTTCTTTTTAATGTTTTGCTGTGTGCATGTGGGGGCGGGGCGGGGGAGGGGAGGGAGGGACTCCCAGCCCAGCCCAGCCCAGCCCAGCCCAACTCCTGGAGAGGGGCCCATAACACACGAATACGTAGTCACACCTACAGACTATATATAGGCTCCATATAAAGAGACAGAAGGATTTGGAGAAGGGATTCAGAAAGGCGAATAGAAATGGGATGGACGCGAGCCTTCATTCATTTTTTTTCATTCATTATTCCACAAGGGTTTATTAAGCACCTGCTGTGTGCCAGGTGCTGGTACGGAGAAAGGCCCTGGGGAAGGGGACATAAACAGAGGCACAGCAAGGGACTCATCCATTCATTACTGGCAATTTGTTTGTGTGCTTAAATGCTGGGCATGGTGTCCAAGGCTGAGCATACAGAAGGGAGGAAAACAGGGTCCCCGACTTCATCATAGAGTTTACATCTTGTGCACGAGACAGGCGTTAATCAGAGAATCATATACATAGACAATAAATTACAGTTAGGATATAGGAGAAACCTGAGATACTAGGAAACGGGCCATCAGGGGGGCTTAACCCAGTTTAGAGGACATGCTTTTAGCTGACACGGAAAGGATGACAGCCGGCAGGTGGAGCTGGGGACAGGGAAGCACACAGGCAATGCGGCATAGGCAAAGGCCCTGGGGGCAGGAAGAAGCTTCCAGAGAGGGCTGGACTGTCATGAGCCTGGTGTGGCTGCAACAAAATGCGGCTGGCGACACACACAGGGCCAGATTGCGACTTGTAGGTTAGGTCAGAAATTTGGATTTTATTCTGGAATGAGTTGAAGCAGGAGAGTAAGGTGAATGGTACTCAAAGGGAAGACAGGAACTCAGAGCCAAGAGTAAGAGGCAGAGGTGCACTGACATGCAGCATCAGACTCAGGCCCTGGCCTTTGAAACGCACGTGCTCACACAAATACCGAAGTACAGGTATGGTGTCTGGTGTACAGGAACAGCCTGGGAGTTAGAGATTCATGTCTCACTCATTCATTCAGCCGTTCACCCATGAACATCTTTGAGCATCTGCTAGCGTACCAGGCAATGTTAGGATCTGGGTCCCCAGAGGTGAAACAAACCATCACCCTGCACTCAAGGAGCTAATAGGCATCAAAAACTGCAATCCGGGCAGGACAGTCAGTCCCGTGACAGTGACCACAATGGGCACCATGGAACAGAGGACAGAGTGACCAACTGCTAGGAGTGGGCAATGCTCAGAGGAAGCCTCCTAGGGAACATGATGCCCAGTCTAGGTCTTAAAAGGATGAGTAGGTGTCTGCCAGGTGATGAAGAGGATGAGGAAGGCTTTCCAGGCAAAAGAACGACTTAGGCAAAAGCGTGGGGAAGGGAAGTGAAAGAGCGTGATGTGTTGGGGACGGTATTAATAGTTCTTGGATGCTGATGCACGGGGTGGGGTGGGAGGGGGGGCTGGAGAAGTAGCTACAAGCCAAGGCCTAAAGGTACCGGGTTTTGGACTTGATTCTAAGGGCAGCAGGGAAGGATGGCAGTTGAGCTGGGGCAACTGTCTCACTCAGCTGAGCTCGGCACAAGCCAGGAGAGTCTAGATGACTTTGATCCTGGAAGACTGGAGGTCAGGGGCCCTGAGGGGAGATGTAGGGGGAGTTTCAGAGAGGGATGCTGGAAAATGTAGGGAAAAAATCCAAGTGAGAGAGATGGAGGACCGAGAGTAGGGAGGATGAGACAGGAGGGCAATGCGAGTTAAAAGAGACAAATTTGATGGGGCATTTTCTTTGCTGGACAAGGAAGACAGAACTGGTTGGGGGAGAGTGGATTCTAGAGTCCAAAGGCCAAACGTAGACCAAGAGTGACAGAGGTGGGCAGGAGGAAGAAGAGAGGTGGAGAGGAGAGGATGGCAGAAGACTCTAAAACTAGTTGAGTCACAAGGAGAGAAAAAGTCAAAGACACAGGACAGTGATCCAGAGAGGAGAAAAAAGGGGCAGGAGAGAGACAGACAAGATGCACAGATTGGAGGAGAGAAGTCTTAGAGATACCAAAAAACAACCCCCCCACAAAGATAGATAAACCACAGGGAGGGGTCTAAACCACAGAGAAAGATTCAGAGATATGCACAAAAAGAAAGGTGGAGACTTAGCAGTAAGTATAGCGTTCAGGAATGATCCATGTCTTGTTTGTTTTGTTTTTTTTTTTTTCAGTATTCAAGAAATATTTTTTGAGCACCAACCTGTTCTAGACCCAGTCTAGGCCCAAGGAATGTGGCGGTGAGCAGACGGACAAGGTCCCGCTCTCCTGGGACTCACAGGAGAGACAAACAATAAATAATGAGATCATTTCAGTGACTGAAAAGTGGTTTAAAAATTTAAGCAGAGTGTGGGAACAGAGTGACAGCAAGGGTGACTTTAGAGAAGGTGCTTCCAGAAGACCTCCCGGGAGAGGTCAGGGAGATTGTGAGAAGGAAAGGGAGGTGAGAAAATCTGGGGACAAGCATTCCGCCCACCAGAGGCAGCACAAAAGCCCGAGGAGTAACAGGTTTTGGAGGAGGCTGTGGGGTGAGCAAATGGGGTGTGAAGGGGAAGCGCAGCGTGGGACTGACCAGGCAGCCCTGAGAAGAAATCCAAATTTTATTCTAGATCCGAAGGGAAGTCCTCTAAAGGGTTTTTAGCCATGATCATGTTTTTATTTAAACAACGTAACAACAGAATCCCTTTGCTGTGCTGAGGATAGACTTCATGAGTCAGAAGTGGACACAAGGAGTTAGGGACTGTTGTCCAGTCGAGTCTGCGGGTAGCCTGGCCCAAGGGGGAGTTGCTGAGATGGAGGGAGTGGAAGGACAGGCATGGGGTTGTGGAGGTAGAGCCTGCAGTGGTGGTGAATTGGGTGTCATGGGGGAGGCGGTGAGAAACCAAAGTAAGAGGACGAGAAGAATTCTTCCAACTGGGCTTGTGCAACTTGGGACGGTGCTGCTGTGTATTATGGCCAGGAAGGGGAAACTGGGATAGGAAATGGGGTTTGGGTGAGGGTTCTCTTTTAGATGTGTTGAGTTGGAGATGCCTGTGGGAAATCTAAGTCGGGGTATCAAGTAGCCAGTTGGATACCTGAGACCAGAGCTTGCGGGAGAGGTCATGGCTAGAAATATAAGTTTTGGAAACGTCAGCATATAGGAGACATTTAAAGCCACAGGACTGGGCGAGGTCACCTAGCAGGTGAGTGTGGACAGAGAGGTAACCCTGGCCACGGCCACCGGGGCACCTGCATGGGGGTGGTTGGAAAGGATGTAGCAAAGGGAGTTGAGGAGTGACAGAGAGGCAGGCCGAATGCAGGAGAGTCGGCAGAGGATAAGAGCGCAAAAGTGTTTCAAGAAAGGGTGGAGGCGGCCAGCCGAGCCGAATGAGAGGGAGCCTGAGAGCAGAGTGACCACTGGGTTTGATGACATGGACGTGGCTGATGGTCTTGACAAGAGGTCACTTCAGTGCAGTGGTGGGGATGGGAGCCCTACCGGAGTGAAGGGGAGAGAGAATGTGGGGGGAAGACGGAGGGAAAGGGAATCTGGGCAGTTTTAGGGGGGGGTGAAAGTGACACAGAAAGGAGAGAGAGGGAGGCATGCAGAAGGAAGGGAAAAATACGGCCTGCAGTTAGCTGCTATGGCAGGCAGGATCCAGAGAGATGGGGAGGCCCAGGAGGGGAGGACAGGTCAGGGGCAGGGAAGAGGTGATGCCCTAAGACAGGCACTGGGGACCCAGTGGCCAGGGCTGCCTGGCCCAGCTCCTGTTTCCTGCTGCCGCTGGCACCAGGCATGCACTGGCGTCCCCCTCCAGATCCTGTCAAGTCCTGGGAAGCCCCAGCGAGGTGACAGGACAGAACAGGCTTCCTTCATTCATTTTCAGAAGTGAACATTCATTCAGTCCTCAGGATTGTTTCCTGAGGACTTTCCAGTGCCAGGTCTCGAGGGCCTCTGCCCTGTCTCTGCCCGAGGAGGGGACACAGGTCACGGCTGGAACAGAGTGAGGTGTGCTCCCGTGGGGCAGGCAGGCATGCACGAAACACAGCAGGCTTCTTCCCGAGCGTGGGTGTCTGTGTGTCACCACCTCACTCCATCTGGTCATTTCTTTGCTCATTCATTCATTCATTCATTCAAGTCACCTGATTCACATTTTCTGAGGCTGCCTGTGCACCTGGCCATTTCAATTCCTCCTGTGTACTTGGCTGGCCCCCGCCCCAGTCTGACTGAAGAGAGGGACACAGACACAGACAATCACATCCCAGGGAAACGTGTGCTCCAACAGAAAAGTCCAGAACAGGGGTGGAGAGAGAGGGCCAGAGTGCTCCAGAGCCTGCTCAGGTCGGGCACCAGGCCTGCCTGCAGCAGCTAAGCAGAAGGAGGTGGAGAAAGGTGGGTCCCACCTGTGCTGTCCGCAGAAGGGCTGAGGGAGGGGGTGAGGGGTGAAGACCAGGCCCTGCTGCCATGCCACACGGCTGTCCCCTGTCCCTGCCCCTGGGGGAGCTGAAACTGCATGGAAGGTCCCCTGGGGGTGCCCCATCTAATAAACTCGATGAAGAGGACTGCTGTTCTGGTTCCGGCGTCCCTGACAGCCAGCCCCTCCCTGGGGTGGGCCCTTTCTACCTCCTGGGGGGCTAAGGACCCTAAGATGGGTATAGGTCCTTCTATCCCTCAAAATCCAAGATTCTGGTCCCAGGCTCCTCCCCCAGGCCCGGGAGTCCGGCCCCCAGCCCCTCCTCCCTCAGACCCAGGAATCCCATCCCCAGCCCTCCTCCCTCAGACCCAGGAATCCCATCCCCAGCCCCTCCTCCCTCAGACCCAGGAATCCCATCCCCAGCCCTCCTCCCTCAGACCCAGGAATCCCATTCCCCAGTCCCTCCTCCTCAGACCCCAGGACCCATCCCCAGCCTCCTCCTCAGACCCAGGTCCAGCCCAGCTCCTCCCTCAGACCAGGGTCCAGCCCCAGGCCCCTCCTCCCTCAGACCAGGGAACCCAGGGCCCAGCCCTCCTCCGCAGACCAGGGTGCAGCCCAGCCCCTCCCCCTTCAGACCCAGGGGTCCAGCCCCAGCCCTCCTCTCAGACCCAGGGGTGCAGCCCCAGGCCCCTCCCTTCAGACCCAAGGGCCAGCCCAGCCTCTCCTCCCTCAGACCCAGGGTGCAGCGCCGACCCGTCCCTCCTCAGTCCGAGGGTCCAGCCCAGGCCCTCTCCCTAGACCCAGGGTGCAGCCCCAGCCCTCCTCCTCTAGACCCAGGGTGCAGCCCAGCCCCTCCTCCCTCAGACCCAGGAGTCCTGTCCCCAGCCCCTCCCCCTTCAGACCAGGGGTCAGGCCCCAGCCCTTCCTCCCTCAGACCCAGGGTCCATGCCCCAGCCTCCTCCCTCAGGACCTGGGGTCCAGTCCCAGCCCCTCCTCCATCAGACCAGGGGTCCATGTCCAGCCCCTCCTCCCTCAGACCCAGGGTCAGCCCAGCCCCTCCTCCCTCAGACCCAGGGTCCATGTCCCAGCCCCTCTCCCTCAGACCCAGGGGTCCAGCCAGCCCTCTCCCTCAGACCCAGGGGTCCATGTCCCCAGCCCCTCCTCCCTCAGACCCAGGGGTCCAGGCCCCCAAGTCCCCTGCTTAGTAAAGACCCAGGAGACCCGGTTCCAGGTCCTCCTTCCCTCAGACCTAGGAGCTCGGGCCCAAGCCCCCTCCTCCCAGGGAACCCGCCCCTCTCCCGCACGCCCAGAGATCCTGGAGCTGGGACTGTCGCCCCGCCCTTGCCCCGTAAGGAAAGTCCCCTCAGCTCAGCCCTTTTCAGGCCCAAGCCCCAGCCCCTCCTCCCCGGGCGGCCTCCTTCCTCCCCTCTTGTCCTCTTAAAATACCCGGGATCCCTATGGCAACAGGCGACAGGCGACAGGTGCGGGTGTTATTTACGGGTCGAGCCCGAAATAGCCCGGGAGGGCGAAGGGGTGGGCGGAGGGGCGAGGCCGGAGCGCGGAGGGCCAGGCCGGCGGGCGAGCGGGCTGGCGAGCAGAGCCGCACGGTTCGGAGGCGTCGCGGAGCTGGGGGCGGCGCGGCGCGGAGGCAGGGGAGCGAGAGGGGCCCCTGCCCAGGACGCCGGGGTGGGAGGCCCGAGGGGAGGGCCCGGCCTCGAGCTGAGCCTGGAGCTGTCCGGCCCGGGCAGGCCCTGGGAGCCCGGGGGAGGGGGAAGAGTGATCCTGAAGGGACTCAAAGTCCCTTTCTGGTCCTAGTTGTCCTTTGAACTCTGGGAGTACTTTGTGTCCCTTGGTCTGAGACCCCGTGGGGGCTCCAGGCCCCCTTCCGAGCCGTAGGGGCTACTCGGCCTCCTTTCCTGGACTCCACTGTGCCACTCAACCTTCCTAGTGGCCTTCTCTGATCTCTGGTCTGAATGGCTAGGGAGGCCCCCAACCCCTTTTCCTGAACTCCAGCCGGGCCCCAGGGCTCCCCTGAACCCCCGCCAGGACTCTCCCGATCCCCTGCTGTGAAGGCTGGGATCCACCGGCTCCCTGAGACGGGAGAAGTCTGCCCTCCTTCTGAGCTCCTCTGGGGGACCCCAGTTTTCCTTTACTGAATCCCAGAGGGGACCCGAGTTCTCTTTCCTCAAACTGAGCCTAAAGGAACCCAACCCAGGTCTCCTTTCAAACTCAAGTCCCCTTCCTGGGCACCCCAAACTCTGAGCCTCCGTGGGGTGTTCCGACCCCTTCCCTGAAGAAAGCCAGTTTCCTTTTTGTTTATCCTCCCGGCGGGACCTGGGGCAGCCCCTCAGGGCTTGGCGGGAGCCTGTTCTGCCTCCAGAGCCCCCAGGGCCGCTCTGGGGACCCAGGCTCTACCTCCGGGCTTGAGGGGGGCCTTGCTTTTTCTGGGGGCCCCATCTTCTTTGCTGAGTTCTTGAGGGCACGCCAGGCCCTCCTCTGAACCTCAGGCGTACCCAGCTCGGGGATCTGGTTTTGTCTTCTCTAAATCCCAGAGGCGACACCGACTTTCCCAGCTGAGGTTCCCGGGCGGACTGGCGTCTTCCTGCTTAATCACCCGGGGAGACGCAGCCCTGCCCGCTCCGGACCCCAGGCCGCTCCCCGCCCCGCCCCGAGACCCCGCTCGCTCCGCCTCCTGCGACCCTGCCCCGCGCCCCGTCGGAGGTCGGGACGATGATGTGGTCCAACTTCTTCATGCAAGAGGAGAGCCGGCGGCGGGAGGCCGCGGGCCTGCGGCGGGCTCGCGGGCAGCAGGGGGCCGGGCTGACGCCCGAGCGCGAGGGCAAGATCAAGCTGGCGTCGCTGCTGGCCGCCGTGGGCGCCACGCTGGCGGTGCTGTCCGTGGGCACCGAGTTCTGGGTGGAACTCAACACCTACAGGGCCAACGGCAGCGCCGTGTGCGACGCCGCGCACCTGGGGCTGTGGAAGGTGTGCACCAAGCGACTGTGGCAGGCGGACGTGCGCGCCGGCAGGGAGACCTGCGGCCCCGCGGACCTGCCCGGAGGTGAGAAGCCGCCGCCCCATCCAGGGCTTGGTCCCGCAGACAGTGTGTGAGAGAGGGGCCCCAGAAACAGCCGGTGCCCCCAGAGAAAGCCTGAGCCCCCAGGAGAGAGCTGGCATCCCCAGAAAGAGCGTTCGCCCACGGCAACTCTGCTCCCAGAAAGTGACAGAGAGAGAGAGGGAGCCCCCAGACATGGCCTATGTCCCTAAGTGGCCTGCCCCGGAGAACCTGTGCCTTAGAGCTTGTCTTCCGGCTACAGCCTATACCCTAAGACCAGCCTGTACCCCCAGCTACAGCCTGTGGCCCCAGAAAACCTGAGCTTCCATGTAAACTGTGCCCTAGAACTTGTCCTCGAGCTATGGCCTCTGCCCAGCTATGGCTATGCCCCCAGGCCAGCCTGAGCCTCAGACTAGCTTGTACTCCCAGGCCTTCCTGCACCCCGAGACCAGCCTGAGCCCCAGACTAGCTTGTACTCCCAGGCCTTCCTGCACCCCGAGACCAGCCTGTGCCCCCGGCCAGGCTGTGACTTTAGGCCAGTCTGTATCCCTCAACTGTTCTGTGCTGCCAAAGACAGCCTGGGCCCCAAGACTATCCTGTGCCCCCCAACCATCCTGTACCCCTAGACCAATCTGTGTCCTCAGTTTTAGCCTCTGCCCCCAGACCAACCTGTACCCCCAGACCAGTCTATGCTTCCAGATCATTCTATGACAACCCCCCCCCCAAAAAAAAACCCTGCTTCCAACACAGCCAGTGTTCCCAGGCATTACTGGGGCCCCTAGAGCAGCCCGTAGCTCCACAGAGCCCATGTCCCTAGATAAACCTTGCCTGTGTCCCCAGACCCAGCTGGTTATTCCAGACACAGCTGGTACCCTCAGACAGCGTGTACCCGCACCAGACAGGCTGCATCCTCCAGAAATGCCTGCACCCGCTGAGGCAGCCTGTGCCCCTGTGCCTGTGCCCACAGACAGCCTGTGCCCCTAGAGAGACAGTCTGGGCTCCTGGTGTCAGCTTGCTCTTCCCACCCTGGACGCAGCCTGCACTCCTATCCTGTGAGCCCTGGGGGCACAGCCCACCCATAAGTAGAATCTATGCCTGGTCCCCACCCACTGATGCCACCAAATGAAGCTCTCGCCAGACATCTCCCGACGTCCCAGGGCAGACATATGTCCTCTCTGACAGGACATGCCATGCCTTGTACTTACACCAGTGGGACATTCTATACCCCTTGGGAACTGGATGAAACCTCATTCTACCTCTACTGACCCAAGGGAAGTATCTGACACTCCTCAGAGCCCATTCCGGCTGTCATATATTTGATCACCCATATGAGATCTCTCACACTCTTTACTCTCCAAAGAATGTCCCATAATCTTCAGTGCCCCCCAGAGAATATCTCCTATCTTTCTGGGCTCCAGATGGGGTTTCCCGTCCTTCACTTCTCCAGGTGTGAAATCTTATATCCATAGTTCCCCAGATAGGATGTTCCAAGCCCTTGGTGACACGAACAATGCCAGGCACCCCTTGCTGTCTGAGCTACCCACAGATGGGCTGTCTTAAACACTTCACTTCTGCAGATGGACTACCTTTTGCCCCTCAGGATCCCAAACAGGATGATCCCAAACTTCTGCAAAATAGATGCCCTGGTAATAAAAATATTAGGTGCTTATGTAGTGCTAGGTTCTGTTCTAAATACTTTACATGCATTAACTAATTTACCATCATAGAAACCCCATGAATAGTTATTATCACCCCCATTCTACACAAGAGAAGAATGAGGAAAAAGAAATTTCAGTCGCTCAGTCTATGCACCCAGGCTAGTGATGTGGGATTTGAACCCCAGTTGTCTCTGTTCTTAACAACTACATTATATCTCATCTCACTAGTCCATAAAGAGGTCCCAAAGGTCCTTGCTGCCCTGGAGGGAATGTCCATCCCACCTCACTGCATAGTATGGGGTCCTTCACATCCCTTGCTATCCCCTCTATCGGTCAGAAAGGACTTCAGTCTTCTTTCAGGGCTGTTACCATCATCCCACAACCCCAGACCCTCAGAGAGTCCCTATCTCTCTTGGCTGCAAGGGGGGTGATGCATACCCTGTACTTTTCCAGCCGGGATATGACGTATCCTTCGGGGGTCAAGAGACAGGATGTCCTAAATCATTAGTAGCCAAAATGGGATGTCCCCTATGGGACCCCACACTGTCCCAGAAGGGGCTTTTCACACTTCCCTCGTGGAAGGGGACCATGTTTTCTCCACTGACTGCTGCAAAGAGCATCCTCATCCTTAGCTTTGTGACACTGAGCATCCTTTGCCTCTTGCTGCTGCAGTTACTGAGCTTACACCTGCCAGTACTCCTGGCCGGACATCTCGCTCCCCGCCCCTTCCCTCTAGGTAGCAGGTGGAGTGTGCCACACCACCTCACCTGGCTCACGGATTTATCTCTTTCCCTGAATGTCCTCTTCCAACTTGGACAGTTTCTTTTCCACTTCTCCAACTGCCTGGTGCCTCTCGTATTTTTCTTTATATCTTTTGTTCTCTACCCCTTTTTCCCCCCTCTTTCTGTGCCTCAGTTTCCCCCTCTTTAGAATAGGATAGTAGGTTGGACTAGGTGAATTCTGAGGCTCTTGGACCTCAAGTACGTAAAGTTGAATGAATCATATGCATCAGTTCATGTCACAAAATCATTATCAGCCTTTATAAAATCCTGCTTGTGCTTCGTTTCATGTTATTTTTTTCATTATTTCCTAACTCATTTCTTTGATATGTTCAATACATATTCATGGATTTGTGTTTTGACTTGGCAAATATATAGTATTATATGTATGTGTTTTATATACATGAGACCATGCTATAGGTTTTGTCCTGTTTTTGAATTTTTTCCTCTTGCCACCTTGTCTTTTCTTGAATTTTTCATTACATTATTAGTATTGTTATTATTATTGCTCAACACTGTGTTCCTCAAATCTCTCGCCTTGTTTTATGTTCTTCTAGTTCATGGCTTTTATGTGCTGGGGAGGTTTTCACAGGGAGTACCCACCACAAAAGATGGGCACCTAAGTTGATTTTGACTCCCCGTTATTTATAAACAGTGCTGCAGGGAACATTTACATATATGTTCCTGTATGTGGTTTTTCCCCCAGATGTATGCCCAGGAGTGAAATTGTTGAGTCATGGGGTCGTTTCATAAAATATCTCAGTGTCCCTTCCAAAAAGACTAATACTGGTTTACACTGCCAGATGTTTCCTCTTATCCTTCCAAATGCTTGGTACTACCCTTTTAATATTTGCCAACCTAATTTATCAGAAGTGGTACCTCCCTGCTGATTTAAGTTGCATTTCTGTCATCCCTGGTGAAGTGGAACATCTCTTCATGTACTTGGGGGCTACCCAGACTTTCTCTTCTCTGAATTTCCACTTACTCTTTGCCCGTTTTTCAGTTGAGTCACCCCTATCTTTTTGCTAATCTGCAAGTGCTCTTTGTGTGTTCTAGATAGGAGTCCGTTTTGAGGTGGGAATCTTTTCTGAGCCTCCTAGCCCTGTTTCTTGTATCTTGGTGTCCTTTGTTGTATCAAGTGATTATCCATTTCTAATCCCACTTGACCCCCCATATGAAGGAGCCAGGAACAATATCATTATCTCATTTTAACGGGGAAGAATCAGAGGCCCAGAGAGGTTAAGGGCCCACTCAAGGCCACGCATCTGGACCTCACAGTTCCGGGTTGGAATCCCAGCTCGTGGGTGGTGGTGTGGCAGCCGGTGGCTTTTCCATCCATGAGCATCATTTTTCTCCTCTGCATATCCGGGGTGCTGACGTCCTAGTTTTAGGTCCTTGTGAGCCATGCTAAGTGTCTGGCCCTGAGCTTACACAAGGGATCTCATGTCATCACCTCCTCTTTTCTGTTTTCTGTTCTCACAGAAGCAAACTGCACCTATTTTAAATTCTTCACCACGGGGGAGAACGCACGCATCTTCCAGAGAACCACAAAGAAAGGTGAGAATTTTCCAGCGTGTGGTGGGCGAGGGGTGGAGGGCATGCTGACCACGCTAGAGAAGTGAGTTCTTCCACGCTAGAGAAGTGAGTGCGGTCCTAGAGAAGTGCACCGTCCCTTCCTCTGCCGGGATGAGCTTGGCTTCTGTAATCAGCAGATGTCCCTTCTCTGGGGAGTGGTGGCAGGAAAATCACGATGGGGACATGGCTCTCGGAAGCCCTGTGCCCGACACTCTCACCCCTAGGTCTGTCTGTGCCACATGCTGTAACCTTGGGCAAGTCACTGCCCTTCTCTGTGGACAGCATGTTACCATCTGACATGCAAAGCACAACACTGGGGTTTCATTTGTAAGCTCTCCAGTCTTTTCCATAACCCTGCAGGGCAGGGGCTTTATCTTCATCTTCCAGATGAGAAAATGGAAGTCCAGAATGGTTCAAACAATTTTTCCCAAGAAGTGGTGGAGACAGGAGCAGGATTCAAACTCAAATAATTCTGACTCTAAAGCAGAGCTTTCCCATAGACTCTTCTGTGAAAATGGAAATGTTCTACATCTGCCCTGATCCATGTGGTAGCCACTGGCCACTGAGCACTTGGAGTATGGCTGGTGTGTTGAAGGAACTGAGTTTTAAATTTTGTTTAATTTAAACCAATTTAGAATTAAGTGGCCACATGTGGCCAGTGGCTACTGTATGGGACAGTGCAGCTGTGAAGACTTTGCCCTTTCGACTCTAACCACAAGACTCGCCATCACCCCAGTGTCTCTGCGTCCCCACCAGTAAAGGCACTGTGATCATGTCATGAATCTTATCTGGTCTTTGTAAAGATTTAATGAGATGACGCAGCTAAAACACCCAGTGTGGAGCCTGGCACGTAGTGGGTCTTCAATAGAGGGTGGTTCTTGGCCTTCTCCTTTCTCTCTTGTCTTTGTGCTGTGTGAGGTTGGGCCAGCCACCATGTGCCTCTGGGGTAGGGAAATCATCCTGGTGCACATGTATGGAACACCTACCATGTGCCAAGCACTGCACTGGGCACCCACTTCACCTATGTGATTTCTAATCCTTACAACAGCCCAATCGGATAGAGATTTCATTCCTGATTTTCCAGAGGAGGAAACTGAGGCTGAAAGCATTCAGTGACACTACCAGAATCTTCCAACTAGGAAGTGGCTGGGGAGGATTCTGACTTGGATCATTCCACTATAACACACCACCTTTGCCATTGTCTCCCACACACCCCGCTGCCTCAGTTTCCTCACCTATGAACGAATGGTGACCAGATCATAAGTAATGATTAGTAATTTCCGTCTCTTTCTAATTCTGGCTTTGTCCCCTTTTTCTCTGTATCCTTAGGTAAATAACTGACCCTCTCTGAGTCTTAGTTCCTTAAACAGTATAAGTAATATGTTGGGCTGAGTGCTCTTCTGTTTGAATATTCATTCCTCTCCAGTCCTGAATTGTACATCTTCCTGGTTCTGAGTCCCTATGGATGAGTCCTCTCCATTCCCTACATCCCACGTGCTCTGCTTCTTCCCTCTCCCCCCTTACAGAAGTGAATCTGGCAGCTGCAGTGATAGCAGTGCTGAGCCTGGCAGTCATGGCCTTGGGATGCCTCTCTGTCATCATGGTGCTCAGCAAAGGTGCAGAGTTCCTGCTCCGAGTTGGAGCTGTCTGCTTTGGCCTCTCAGGTGAGGGTTGAGAGCCTGGAGGCTGAGGACAGAGCATGCTGGGAGTATCTCCAGGCACTATTGCATGCTGGGAGATGGGATCTCTATGCACCATTGCAAGCTGGGAGTGGGAGCTCCAAGCACTATTGCATGCTGGGAGATGGGATCTCTATGTGTCATTGCAAGCTGGGGGCTCCAAGCACTGTTGCATGCTGGGAGGTAGAATCTCCAAGTACTGTTGCATGCTGGGAATTAGGAGGACGTCCAAGCGCTATAGTAGGCTCAAAGATGGGAGAATTCTAAGCCTTAATGTTGTCTGGGAATTGGAGGCTCTCCAAACACTCTTTTAGATTTGGACCTGGAGAACCTAAATGCTGTCACATTATGGGAGAGAAGGAGGGGTTTCTAATGTTATTTCATGTTGAGAGGACAGGGAAGCCCAAAGGGTAGGCTCAAAGATGGGAGAGTTCTGAGCTCTTTTCTTGGCTCAGAATTGGATGGCCTCCAAATACTCTTTTAGATTTGATATGTGAGGTCTGCAAGGACTGTTGTATTCTTGGAGTTGAAGGTTCAAATAAAATGATACATCTTCTGAAATGTAGTCCTCAATAACAGTAAAAACTTCAATTGATTGTAAATCCAGTTCAAATCCTTACAACAGTGCTACTAAGGTATGGATTGCTATCCTCCATTTTATAGATAAGAAAATTAAGGCTCAGAGAAGTCAGGTGCAATACTCATGGCAACACAATTAATGATGGCACATGTGGCGCATGTGGGACTTAAAAGTTGATCTTCTTGCCGGGCGCGGTGGCTCACGCCTGTAATCCTAGCTCTCTGGGAGGCCGAGGCGGGCGGATTGCTCAAGGTCAAGAGTTCAAAACCAGCCTGAGCAAGAGCGAGACCCCGTCTCTACTATAAATAGAAAGAAATTAATTGGCCAACTGATATGTATATAAAAAAAATTAGCCGGGCATGGTGGCGCATGCCTGTAGTCCCAGCTACTTGGGAGGCTGAGGCAGAAGGATCGCTCGAGCCCAGGAGTTTGAGGTTGCTGTGAGCGAGGCTGAAGCCACGGCACTCACTCTAGCCTGGACAACAAAGTGAGACTCTGTCTCAAAAAAAAAAAGTTGATCTTCTTCTTCCAAAGTATGTCTCATCACCTCACCTCATCATTGCATTTTTGAAACTATGTTTTTGTGGAATCTTTGAGATGGAAAGAATGCTTAACTGAGTGGTCTAAGTTCTAGCCTAGGCTGTGCCCTGTATCACCAGGTGACCTTAGGAAGGTTCCCTTTATTTTCTGGGCTTTGGTTTCCTTATTGGAAAATTTGTTAATTATATAAACTTCATTTCTTTATTCTTTGTGTATTATGAGTACCTACTATGTTCCAGGTAGTCTGGTAAGGACTAGAAATACAAAACTAAATAAGAGAGACACTTTGTATACACTCACAGAGCCAGAGGTAGACTGTAACCAATAATTATACAAATAATAATTCAACTTTAATTGTGATGAGAGTTATGAGAATGTATATTAAAGGTCCACACTGTGGTGGGAGTGTGTGTCAGAGAAACTCCCCAAGAAAGTGTCACTTATACTGATAATTGAAGGATAAATAGGAATTATGTGAAGCATGGTGGTGACCATTGTGGTGGCAACAGGTGATGTTGATGGAGGTGGTGAGGGTGGTGGTGATGATGATGGTGGTGGTGGTGATATTGGTTATGATGTGGTGGTGACACGGGCAGTGATGTTGGGAATGGTGGAGGTGGTGAGGGTGGTGATGATGGTGATATTGGTTATGATGGTGGTGATGACATAGCATGTACAAAGACTGTAAAAGCCTTCACAAGTTGGAGGAAAAGAATACAGATTCGAGTCTAAAGCAAAGCAAAGCTGTGTAAGTGTATATGGTGGCTTTGATTAATAAGTGAGGTCGAGGCCTGATGCAAGATGAAGCCAGAGAGACAAGCTGGGTGTTCAGAAGCAGACACGAGTGGAAAGTAACAATGACGTCATTCTTATCGATGTTTTGTTGCCTTAGAGACCTCCCCCCAGATAAAGGTAGAAAGATCCAGTCATCCCCTTTCATTTTATTTATTTATTCATCAATTCATTTAGTTCACTGAAGCACACCCATGTCGCCACAGTCTTCCTTAGGTATCCATAGAAGATTGGTTCTAGGACTCCCCACAGATGCCAAAACCTATGCCAAGTCCCTCATATAAAATGGCGTATTATTTGCATAGAACCTATGTGCATCCATTCATGTGCTATAATCACCTCTAGCTTGCTTATAATACCTAACATAATGTAAATGCTATGTAAATAGTTTTATTTAGGAAATAATAATAAGAGAAAAAGTCTGTGCACAAATGCAACCATCCTTTTTAAAAATATTTTGATCCGTGGTTGGTTGAATCCTTGGATATGTAACCCTCAGATACAGAAGGCTGACTGTCTGTATACATATTTGTGATATTATAAGAGCATATAAGACAGAATGTGCCTCATGGAGATTATCATCTGATTAAGGACCCAGAACTAATACAAATAATCTCACAATTACAAACTGCAGAAAGTGCTGTGAAGGAATAGTGGCATTCCATGAGAGTGTACAATGAGAGCATTTGATTTACTGCAGGGAGTTAGGGGCTCTCTGAGGAGGCGACATTGAAAATGTCAACGTCTGGATAACTAAGCTTGAAACAGTTCCGTGGAGAGTGACAGGGTTACTGGTGCAAAAGATGGCCTGGTGAAATCAACAGGGAATCAAAAAGATCTGGTTGGAGTTCCAACTTCTTAAAAACTGTGTAATATAAAAAAAGAAACCTTTGTATATCTGGGCTTAAATCTCATATGCAAGAACTCACTGATCCAAGTATCCATGTATCAAGTGCCTCCATTCATTTATCCTTCCATTGATCCAGCTGTTTCTTCCCTCCTCCCCTCCCCCTTCCTCTCATTTTCTTTCTTTTCCATCCTGTTTCTCTTCCTTCTTCCTTCCCTCCAACCATCTATTTATCCATCTGCTCATACATCCATTCATTTCACAAATATTCCTTTAATATCTAGCAATTGCTGAATGTTGTGCTAGGTAGGTACCACTGGGGATAGAATGAGAATAAGATAAGATGACACCTATTCTCATGGAATTTATAGCTTGGTAGAAAGTTGGTGCTGAAGTTATTATTGAACTCACACCTGCATTATTCCTGGGGTGCACAGGAAGGTGTTGATGTAGAAGTGTTTAATGGAAGTCTTGGGCATGAACATGTTCTGCAGATGGTGCAATGAAATGAGAGTCAGTGTGGATCTGAGGCTGAAATTACTGTGGTTATGCTGGGTGTCAGGGATGGGGGCAGGTTGGGCTTTTTTGAGGTCTCCCTAGATAAAGGGACATATTCAGGTTATATTGTGTCTCTCCTTGTAATATCAGGTGTCCTTCTATGTTTTAGAGCTATGAGACAGACAAGTTTGCTGCCCTCATGGATTTTTAGTCCAGTGTGGGAAGACAGAAGTGAGATAAAGGATCAATACTCATATAAATCAATATTTATATTAAAAACTACCAACTGTGGTGAATGCTATAAATAAGAGGTAAAGAGTATTGCTGTACCCTAGGTCTTTACAAACCCAAAACAAAGATAAAGAGTATGAGAAAAATATAGCCCGTGTAGACTTAAGTGGCAGTGGTCAGGGAGGGCTTCTCTGAAAACCCACCGTCTAAGCAGAGATGTGCAGAGTGAGGATGCATAAGGTAGGCTCAGGGAGGGGTAAGCAGAAAATTCTTCCACACAGCCAAATGGTCTTCAGTCTTGAAAGAATCTGGTGCATGGAGGGACTTTAAAGAAGTCCTACTCCGCTTTGCTAGAGCGTGGGCAGAGCAGCTTGAGAGGAGGCTGAAGAAGCAGGCAGGGGCATGTGTCTTTTTAGATCACAGTGAGGAAGCCAGGCTGGATCACGGAGGAGGTATCCTGGCGTGGCTAAGAAAATAGTGTACGGCGTGGACCTGGCTGGGCTCAGACCCAAGCTCCACTAGTCCAGGCTTCCGCTTTCCCGTATGCACAGTGGGGATCACGGTGATTCCCGCCCCATAAGGTGGAGGGGAAGCGTTGAGATATAAAGGCGTGTGGTTAGACTCTTGCCACCACGCTAATGCTTCAAGGCCAGGGGTCAGCATCCCACTGCCTCTTGTTTTTGTTCAGCTGTGAGCTAAATGGTTGGGGGGGGGAATCAAAGGAATACTATTTCAGAACATATGAAAATTACATGAAATTCAAAATTCAGTGTCCCAAAATAAGGTTTCATTGGCCTACAGCCACTCCATTCATTTACGTATCGTCTATGGCTGCTTTCACACTACAGAGCCGAGTGGTTGTGACAGACCATATGGCCCGTAAAACTGTAAATACCCACTATGTGGCCCGTAGGCTACAGTTTGCTGACTCACAGCTTAGACCGAAAATCTAGAAGTCATCCTTGGTCCCTCTGTTGTCTTTACACCTCACACCATTCTGCCAGCGAATCCTGCTGGTGCTACCGTCAACATATATTTTGAATGCAACGTTTCCCGCCATTTCCACCATCACCCTGATCCAGGCCACCACCCTATTTCCCTGAGATAACTTCTGTGGCCTCCTGACCGTTCTCTGTGCTTCTCCTCTTACCCTCCTCAAGTCAATTCTCCACGGAGCAGCTCAAGTGCTGCTTGTAAATTGTAAATCAGATCATGGTTCCTCCCCAGGTCAAAGCCACTAAATTCCTACTATATTTAGGTCTGTGTTAGTCTGCTAGGCCTGCTGTAACAAAGCACCATAGGCCGGGTGGCTCGAACAACAGAAACTGATTTCTGCAAAGTTCTGGAGGTCGCAAGTCCAAGACCAAGGAGTCACCTGGGCTGGTTTCTTCTGAGGTCTCCCTCCTTGGCTTGCAGATGGCCGCCTTCTCCCTGTGTCCCTCTGTTCACGTCTGTGTCCAAATTTCCTTCTCTTATAAGGACACCAGTCGTATTGGATTAGGGTCCACTCTGCTGACCTCACTTTAACTTAATTATCCCTTTCAAGACCCTACCTCCAAAGAGTCACATCCCGAGGCACTGTGGGGTCAGGACCCCAACCCATGCACTTTTGGGAGGGGGACACAGTTCAGCTGACAGCAATGCATTTAACTGGTCGCTGTCCATCTCCCCTTCTGGAATGCAACTCTAGAAGGACAGGGACTTTGCTAGTCTTGTTTGTATTTATTTTGTGATGAGAGCTTGATGGAGATCTGTCGAGGGAATGAAAGAACGCAGGAATTAGCGGAAGAAGGAAGGGGACTGGGTGGCGCCTCCGCTTGTCTGTAATGCTGAGCTGCATGGAGCAAAAAAGGGCTCATGGAGGGGCTGTTGAACCACTACGCCCAGGCTGCAATCTCCAGACCCCTGATTGACACACCACAGGGGAATTGGGGTGCAGGGAAGGAGGGTCAGGAACGGAGGTTGAGGCTGGACTCCAGGGCCGGAGAGGGGAGGCAGCTGGGATCCCTCAGATGGTCCTGCATGAACTGACTCCCGCCCATCTCTGCCATTCCATTTACCTCCTCTCTCCCCACCCCAACGCACTTTGCTCCAGACACACTGACCTTCTTTCTTTTCCTCAAACACACTCTGCTGCATCCTGCCACAGGGCCTTTGCATCAGCCAATCCTTCTGCTTGTAGTAGCTGTTGCTTAGTTTTGTGCATGGCTGGCTCCTTCTGCTCCTTTAGGTCTTGGCTTAGGGGCACTGAGCCCCACTGCACCCCTGAGTGTCACTCTCTCTGTTTTTGTTTCCTTCCTGTCCTGTATCACTCCCTGAAGTTACCTTGTCTCCTCTTTTGTTTACTCTGGAAGTTGCAACCTGCAGCCTGCAGGCTAGAGAGGGCCAGGAGACGTGCTTTGTCTGGCGGGCAGGGTGTAAAAGATTGCTCTGCGCCAACATATAAGGTTGGGCGAATTCCCATAAAAGCAATCATCGTTTAAGCAATTCTGGCTATTCGTGAGAAATAAGATGAGGCAAATTAGGTCCCTATTTCTGAAGGGCTGCAGGTGCCTGAAGCTGAGTTTGGCTTCTGTTTGTCATTGTTGCCACCACACTTGTGTGTTTCATGTACTTATTTGTGTTTCTCATCGCCCCCTGTAGGCATTTGAGTCTTGCAAGCCTTGGTTTTATGTGTTGACCATCTGTCTTTTCTAAGTGGAATATAATCTCTGTGAGGGTAGGGGCTTTCTCTATCTTGTTCCTTCTTTTTCTTTTTGCTTTTTTTTTTTTTTTTTTTTTTTTTTTAACAATTGACTGCCACACTAGAAAAAATTTTTTTCCTTGGGGCCATGGTGTTTTATTATGAAAGTAGAATAAAAACAAAATGATCCTTTCAAATTTAATGAAAAAATGTGTTATTTTTTATTGTTCTCTGTGTGTGAGTTATATGCAACTTGAAAAATAGTTCTTGGCTCCCAAGGTGAAGAGATGTGATTACATATACTTCCCGAGGCTCCAAGCTCAAAACTAGCATGAGTTCAATACAACTCGCATGGCAGTTAATGTGTTAAAAATCAAATTGCATTACAAATTGACTTTCTTTTCATTTTGTGACCCTCCCACCACCACCTCTGCTTTTTTTACTTTCTTTTCTTTTCTTTTTATTTTTTTGAGACAGAGTCTCACTCTGTTGCCCGGGCTAGAGTGCTGTGGCGTCAGTCTAGCTCACAGCAACCTCAAACTCCTGGGCTCAAGCAATCCTCCTGCCTCAGCCTCCCCAGTAGCTGGGACTACAGGCATGCGACATCATGCCTGGCTAAATTTTTCTATATGTTTTAGTTGGCCAATTAATTTCTTTCTATTTTTTTAGTAGAGATAGGGTCTCACTCTTGCTCAGGCTGGTTTTGAACTCCTGACCTTGAGTGATCCTCCTGCCTTGGCCTCCCAGAGTGCTAGGATTACAGGCGTGAGCCACTGCATCTGGCCACCTCTTCTCTTTTAAAAGGAAACTTCTATGGAGTCTTAATTTGAATTTTGTGTTTCTTGAGTCCTCTGTTTGCTTTTTAAAAAAAATTGTGGGAAAATATGCCAAACATAAAATTTACCATTTTCCCTCTTTTATCATTAGTTGACACATAATAATTCTACGTGCTTATGGGATATAGAGTGATATTTTGATACACGTATATACAATGTATAATGATCAAATCAGGGTAATTGACAATCATTTCTTTGTGTTGTGAACATTCGAAATCCACTCCTCTAGCTTTTTGTTTGTTTTGAGGCAGGGTTTTGCTCTGTCACCCAAGCTAGAGTGCAGTGATGTGATCATAGCTCATTGCAACCTCGAACTCCTGGGTCAAGCGATCCTCCTGCCTCAGCCTCCCCGGTAGCTGGGACTATAGACGAGCACCACCACACCCGGCTAATTTTTCTATTTTTTGTAGAGATGGGGGTCTTGCTCTTGCTCAGGCTGGTCTTGAACTCCTGGCCTCAAGCAATCCTCCCTCCTTGGCCTCCCAAAGTGCTGGGATTACAGGCGTGAGCCCTTGTGCCTGGCCTACTGTAGCTTTTTGAAAACACACACCAAGTTATACTTACCCATATTCTCCGCCCTGTGGAATACCAGAACACCAGGATTCGTTCTTCCCATCCGGCTGTAATTCTGTGTCTGCCTTTTGACCGTTTGCGAGTGCGCACGTCTGCGGCATTCCGCACGTTCACACGGTCACGTGGCCATCACCACCTCCCTCTCCAGAGCTGCTCATCTGCCCAGCTGAAATTGTGTGCCATGAGACACCGACTCCCCTTCCCTTCTTCCCTTGGCAGCCACCGTTCTTTCTTTCTCTGTGAATTTGTGTCTTGTTTCCTTCTTTATCTCCAGCTTCGAAAATGGTGCCTGCCATCCAGCAGGCGTCGAGTGTTTGTTGAATGCGTGAGTGGGAGGGTGTCGGGGCTCTCCCAGGCTTCTCGCGGGAGCAAGCAAGCGTGCAAAGGAGTGTTTTGGGGGTTCCCCAGGGCCCTGAGCGCCACCCTGTCCTCTCTCCCGCAGGCCTGCTGCTCTTGGTGAGCCTGGAGGTGTTCCGGCACTCCGTGCGAGCACTGCTGCAGAGAGTCGGCCCCGAGCCTCCCCCGGCGCCGGCCCTGGCCTACGAGTACTCCTGGTCCCTGGGCTGCGGCTTGGGGGCCAGCGTGGTCCTGCTGCTGGGAGCCGGCTGCTTTCTGGGGCTCTCCCTGCCTTCCTGGCCCTGGGGGTCACTCTGTCGCAAGCGGGGTCACCAAGCCGCCTAGAGCCACCAGTGAACTTCCTTTCCTCTGAGCAACTGCCAAACCCTTACAGCCTCCAAAATCCCAAAATCTCTTGCCCCATCTCCCAGAGAAACTGTTCTCCCCGCTCAGGGGCCACGTGGCTTCCACTGACCCTGCCTCCTCCCCTCCTGCGCTCCTCTGTAAATACAGGGTTCTTGGTGGCTGCATTGGGGGCACTTGGGGGAGGGCTGGGAAGAGGGTTTTTGCAAACGAGGGTCCCTGGGAGGGCCGGCGGGACCTGATGGGTAACTAGGGTGTGGGGACGTGGTCAGGGGGCCTTGGGAGGGAGCTGGGGGCCCTTCTTCTCTGGGTCTGCATAGACTTCTCAGGACGCATCTGCAGCTGGGGGCGGGTGGGGAAATAGGGAAAAATCTCAGGGTCTGACCTGGCTGTGATCTGATTTGGGATTAAAGGTTTGGAAACTTGACAACTTTGGGTTAGAGTTCATTTGTGATGTGTCTGATGGTGCGCTCTGGAGTGGGAGACAGAGACTCCACGTCCGTTCCGGAAACATGGCTACTTGTCACATGTACACGGGCCCATAGAGCATGGCCGAGAGCATGGGAAACACGACAGGCTGTATAGAATACAGGTGTTGTTAAGGGCTGAGTTTCATCTCCCCCCGCCCCAACAAAAAAATACATGTTGGAGTCCTGACTCCCAGGACCTCAGAATGTGCCCTTATTTGGAGACAGGGTCTTTACAAAAGTAATGGAGTTAAAATGACATCTTTAGGGTGACCCCTAATCCAGTATGCCTGGTGTCCTTGTGAGAAGGGGGCATTTGGACAGAGACAGACACGCCTCGAGGGGAGATGATGGGAAGGCACGGGGAGAAGAGGCAGCCTGCAAACCCAGGAGAGAGGCGGGACAGATTCTCCCTCAGCCCTGGAAGGAGCCAGCCCTGCCCGCACCCGCATCTCGAATTCCCGCCTATGGAAAAGCAGATTCCTGTTGTCGCAGCGCCCGGCTGCGGGACCGTGTTACGGCAGCCCCAGCAAACCGACGCAGATCCGTACCTGGCAGTGAGGCCCTGCTGTGACCGATGCCTGAAAATGTGAAGGTGGCTTCGGAACCGAGTAACAGGTGGAGGCTGGACGCAGTTTGAGGTTCATGGAAGAAAAAGCTTAGATTTCCTTGGGGAGACTGAAGAAAACCATGGTCATTAAAAGCCATTGTGGGGCCGGGCGCGGTGGCTCACGCCTGTAATCCCAGCACTTTGGGAGGCCGAGGCGGGCGGATAGCTTGAGCTCAGGAGTTCAAGACCAGCCTGAGCAAGAGCAAGACCCCGTCTCTACTAAAAACAGAAAGAAATAAATTCGCCCACTGAAAATATATAGAAAAAATTAGCCGGTGTGTCTGTTTCCAGCACTTGGGGAGGACTGAAGAGCAGGGAGGAGCTTGAAGCAGGAGTTTAGAGTTCTGTGAGCTAGGTCGCATCCACTCGTACCTGGGCAACAAATGCGGTTGCCACAAAACAAACAAAACAAAGCCATTGTGGCGAGGCTAGAAGGATCAAGGATCGCTGCAGTGAGTTCTGTCTTAGCGAATACATTTATTGTTATGCACAGAAGAATGGTCAGCAAGGACAGTTCAGCGAATGAGCACCGTGTATCAGGGCTGTAATCCGTCAGCCCATCCCTGATGACCGTTCACTTCTTATAAGCCTGTGATGCAGAGCTGGCAAGGCCAATTTTTTTTTTTTTTGAGACAGAGCTCACCTGTGTTGCCCCAGGCTGAGTGAAGTGTGGGCGGAGCCTAAGCCACAGGCAACTCAAAACCTCCTGGGCCTCAAGCAATCCTTGCCTCAGCTTCCCGGTACTGGGACTACAGGCATGCGCCACCTGGGGCCAATTTTTATATATACTTATCTTTCTATTTAAGTAATACGGGGTATCCGGTCCCTGCTCAGCGCTGGTTTTGAATCCTGACCTCGAACATCTGCCACTTGGCTCCCAAAGTGCATGATACAGGCGAGCCACCGCGCCCGCCTTGGTCTAGGCCATTTTATAGATCCTCATTAATGACGAAAACAAATCGATAAGACTGGGTTATGGCCCTTAGACCCGTCAGGAAAACAGAGAGATCACAGAGAATTAAGGAAGCTTTTTTCAAAGGCCAACAGGGGTCCGCGGCCTCATGCTGTACATCTAGCACTCTGGGAGCCAGGGTGAGGATCGCTCAAGGTCAGGAGTGACGGACCCAGCCTGGACAACAAAGAACCCAAGTCAACTAAACAACCACGAAAACAGAACTAAAAACGCGCCAACTGGGAAACTATCACCAAACATTAGACACGGTATGGGCGCATCCGCCTGTAGTCCAGCTACTCTCGGGGGGAGGTGGGCAAGACGTAGCAGGAGTTGAGGTTCTGGGAGTAGCTGAGCACCAGGGGGCAGCTCTAACGCCCCCGCAACCAGATGAGACTCTGTCTCAAAAAAAAAAAAAAAAAAAAAAAAAGGTCGGCATAGCTATTGAGTGGAGACGGTGAGATTCGAACTCAGCCCTTTTGCATTCCATACTCTGAACCCCTGTGAAGTACAGGTTTCTAAGCAAAGGGGGAAGGACTATCTCAAAACTCAGGCATTTTACTCCCAGGAATAGCATCCTCACGTTGTACCCTGTGCACGTCAAATGAGTCTTAATCACTAATAGAACCCAAGTCTAATTATGGGGAAAACAATGTTAAAATTCAATACATTTTAAAATTTATTAAAAGGATTTGTTCTGTAAACTTTGGATCCAAGGGGTCACACTCAAGGGTGTGGCAGGGCACATGCGGCCGCAGGTCCCCCACCCCTAAGTCTGAGAAACTGTCACGGACCGGAGGAGACTAAGCAGACGCAGCAAAGGACATTAATAGAAAAACTGGTGAAATCCGAAGACATCCTAGAGTTTGGTTAACGGCGACGCACCCACGGTCCTTTCTCAGATTTGACCAGTGTGCCGTGGTGACGTGGGGTCCCCTTTAGGGGGAACCAAAACTGGGTGGAGGGTCTGTGGAACTCTCGACGTCTCTGCAGCTTTGCTGTACGTCTAAAATTATTCCAAATAAAAAGTGTTATTTTAAAAAAGCAAATGAAAAAAATAATGAACGTTAGCTGTGTCACTTCTCCAGCAGCCACCAGCTCTAGGACACTTGCTCCCTCATGGATTTTGCTCTGTTAGTTACGCACGGCTCCCCACGCTAGCTGGCCCTGATAGGAAAGTGAATTAAGACACGGTTCCTCCCGCCGCGCTCTTACGGTCTACACAGGAAGACGGGCAGGTGAGCGGAACCCGGGCACAGGTGCCAAGGGGGGGGCGCAGAGGGAGCAGTGAGAGCCCAGAGGGGGAAGAAAATAACTCCATGGGGTGGGGGGGGGTTCAGGAAAGCATCGTGAAGGAGGAGATGCCTAACTTGAGTCTTAAAGATGAACAAAAGTCAGCGTGGAGAAGACCAGCAAGGGCATTCCAGGTAGGTGGGAAGGCCCGGGCAGAAACAAGAAGGCAAAAAGTATTACGGAGAAGGTGAGTGAGGAAATGTGAATTTTGACGTTCAAAAAGAGATACAGGAGCAGCAGGAGAGGTTGGCATGGGCTATATTATGGAGGAGGTGGAGAGACTAAAATGCTCCACTGAGTAACTTGGCCTTTATTCTCAGGGTACTAGGGAGCCATGGGAGGCTGTTGAGCAGAGGCATGCTGGCATTGGGTCCAGGGATTACAACAAAGTTTCTTATTCTTGAAATGACAAAATTATAGACACAGAGAGCAGATTAGAAGTTGCCAGGGGATAAGAAAAGGATGAGTCACAAAGGAAGTGGATGTGGCTATAGAAGGACAATAGGAGGGGTCTTCGTGGTGATGGGAACAGGGTGTATCTGACTCTCTGTGTCTGAAATCACTCTCCCCTTGTCCGGCCAGTTCAAACACCTGCTCTTAGCGGGCCCCTCACCCCAGGCTGCCTCCGACCGCCCAGGGCCTGGTCTCTCCCTCCCCAGTCTGTCTCCAGTATGGACCCCAGAGGGATCTTTTAGCCCCATGTTTTCACTGGGGTGAGAGGTGACTTTTATTCCTTGGGGACTCTGGGCGGTGCCTGCACACATTGTTGGCTGTCACAACTGGGACGAGGGACGCTATTGTCATCTGGTGAATAGAGGCCAGGGAGGCTGATAAACCCCCGACAGTGCACAGGACAGACCCTCCGACAAAGAGTCATTTGGCCCCAAATGGCAAAATTGCCAAAGTTAAGAATTCCTGAGTTTTTTCCTTTCCTTTCCTTTTTTTTTTGGAGACAGAATCTTGTCTTGCTGTCTTGACCCAGCTAGAGTGCCGTGGCATCAGCCTAGCTCACAGCAACCTCAAACTCCTGGGCTCAAGCGATCCTCCTGCCTCAGCCTCCCAAGTAGCTGGGACTACGGGCATGCGCCACCATGCCCGGCTAATTTTTCTACTTTTAGTAGAGACAGTGTCTTGCTCTTGCTCAGGCTGGTCTCGAACTCCTGAGCTCAAGGTGATCCTCCTGCCCGAGCCTCCTGGAGTGCTAGGATTACAAGAGTGAGCCACTCAGCCTATATTTTTCTCAATTTCAGGTGTATAAGTGATTTTTCATATATATACATATATATACATTGATATATATACATCTCGGAGCAGGTCACAGCTATGTTCTGGCGCAAGGCCTTCCTGCACTGGTACACAGGTGAGGGCATGGACGAGATGGAGTTCACTGAGGCCGAGAGCCACATGAACGACCTGGTGTCCGAGTCCCAGCAGTACCAGGACGCCACGGCCGAGGAGGAGGGAGAGTTTGAGGAGGAGGCCGAGGAGGAGGTGGCATAGAGCCGTCTGTCACTGGGTAAAGCGCGGAAGCGGTGTGAGCTCTTTATTCACTCACGACCTGTTCTGATAGCCACGTCTCACTGTGTGTGCACTTGCTGTTCTTCCTGTCTTGACATCACATGCTGTACAGACGCCACCATTAAAGCATTTTCATAGTGAAAAAAAAAAAAGTCTCCATACACATATCAATGGAGCAACTTTGATGTTA